CAGGCCTGACTTTGGGGGAAAATGTGAAAAGTGCGAGGTGGAAAGTGAACCTGCTGAGTATGCAAATCACACCCAAACACACACCCACTCTCATACACGCATTAAGGTCGCAGATCGGACAAAACAATAAGGAAGCTCAACTTGCCCCACATGGATATTAGAATAATGCAACAAAAGCGTATCAAGGATATGCAGGATGCAAATGCAAAAAAGGGAAAAAAAGGAGACTCCTTCGACCATTGGCAAATATGCTGAAAACTGGACACAGTTGGAGAGATTTTTGGCCCAGCTGGAAAATCCCCTCGATGGGGGGATCCCACAAAGGTGACACACAGTTGGGCCCTGATTTATGAGCCATATATATCTGCAATATATATATATAGAGAACACTCCAACTATATAGATATGGGAATATCTATGTGAAGGTACAGAGAAAAAGTTTTGGATTTCCATTTAAGATATTTTACTAAAAAGTCATAGGAAAACCAAGGAGGTTGGAAGTTTTCTTACTTAATATTATATAGCATATCTTTATATATATATTCTTAAGAAATCTTATGATAAATCCATAAAGTAATTTTCCCAGTGCACCCTTTTCCTGCGTGTGTTTCCCGCTTTTGGTGACTTTGCATATTCCACTTGGGCGGAAATTTATTAGAAGAGGTCGAAAAACTGTAAAGTCATGTGCCGAAGGACGTGCAGGACACACTTGCACACCTCCAGTGGGCAACCTGCCCTCTGTATCCCTTCCCTTTTCCGATCCCCATCCCGATCCCGCATATATATATATCTCTTCACCGCTCTTTGTATCTTCCTGCCACTCATGCATATGCAAATTGCACTGGCTGGCCATGTGACCCAGTTTGATTGTGGGCGTGTGGACTCCCCCCACCTTTCGTCCTTGCCAACCCATCCAACCCACAATTCGTGCCTCGTTTTGTTTGCGTATTTTTCCCCATTTTGTCGCTGGAGCCTCTGCCTGGTTTCCCATTGTCGATTGTTTTTGCCTGTTGATGTTTTTGCATGACAAACAAAAATTATAATTGCACTTGAAATTGGCACAGAGGGTGGAGGGTGGGCATGTGTTTGGGTTTGTGTTATCTCACACGGGAATTCTGCAAAATCATTGGGGAGATTATTTCAGAATTTCATTTCCATATTTGGATATAAGCTGAATATGTAGAACCTTGAACTAGATAGATTGGTAAGACTCTGAGCGAAGGTCAGAATGTTTTTTGAGTGATAAAGATGAGATAAAAGTACGGCCTTGTTTTTGTTTATTTTAAGATATGAATGGGTTGAATTTTATCTTTTGAATGACTAAGGTTTCATTGATACTTTGCTGCTTTTAAAAGTTTATCTTCCTGGTGATGTTCTTTAAAATTGTAGAAGGAAAACCCAATTGAACTATTTTAAATCTTTTTGTGGTCTTAAAATTTAATAATATTGCAAATTTCCCAATAACAATATCCCTTTAATGAAAATATTGAGAAATCTACATTTTCCTTTTTAAATTTTACTAGAAAAACTAATATTTTCTTTCGACCTAATGAAGTTGCAGCCATAAATGTCAAATAAATAGTTCTCCTGCCCACCCTGAACAGCTGTAAACTAAACAAAAAATCTCAATTCAGGAGGGAAAGGGAATGTCCAGCCAAAAATCGAATAGAAATCATTAACAGGACCTCAGTTTCTGTGCCATGAAATTGGACTCACACCCCGTGTATAAGTATTTATGCAGATGGTTTTCAGCAGCAGCCGAAAAATGTTCGCCTTGCTTACATTTTCCACACACAAACAGGCACACAGAGATTTTAATAACCACATGTGTGTGTAGGAAGACGAGTTTTTGTGTTGTGTTATTTTTTGCTGAACAGATTTTTCCTTTTTTCCATTTTTGGACCGTATCACTTTGACAAACATGCAGATTATCCTGGAATTATTAATTATTGTATCTGCAAACACGAGCCCCGCCGTCAGCTGTCCCAGGCGAGGGAGCTGCCGGAAAAGAGCATTTTGGTTTTATGAATTTTTGGCAACGGGGAAAATGGGATGACTAATTGGTAAACCACGTGGTATGAGTTAGCTTGAATTTTACTAAAACTGCTTAAATTTTGTTTTAAACTGGAATTTAAATTGTCAGTTAGAAAGAGTTGGGACTAACTAATCTTCTTGATTTTTTCTACATTCTTTGACTTTCTCAGCTTACTTTTGTTTTATTTCTAACTTATCTTATTCAAAACATTTCACTTTTCTTCAACGACATAATAAACTTTCTCCACCTAAAGTCACATTTTCCTAAGTTTTGTCTCTGCCTGAGATATTTCAGCAACTATGGCACTCACAAGATACTTTTCATCTCTTGCATTTTTATCTAAAAGATAAATCTAAGCTTGCTTATGAGAGATTTTCAGATCTTTTGAAAAATGTTTGTTTCTTTTGCATTTTGATAGTTTTCCTCAACATTTATAAGACATATACTTTTGTATCTTTTGGTCCTTGCCAATATCTCAAGAATGCTGCCAGCCATAAAGATACTTTTCTGTTTCTTCTTCTGCGGCTTCTGTTGGCAAAGTTCTGGGAGTTTTCCAAATATGCGTGTGGTCGCCAGCCTCTGCTTTTCCCCCTTTTCCTTCATCGGTCAATCACTTAATGCGCCTTTAATTTGCGTGGCCTTTCTGCTTTTGGCCCCCAAGTTGCAAGGGAAATGAGCCGCTAATGTGTTTCGGTTTGGTCCCCGGGAAAAAGGCAAAAGCAAAGGCAAAGGCAAACATATCACTTGACGCGCCTAATGAGTCTGCGAGAGGGTGGTGTTTTCAGAGGGGGGAGGGATTTTCAGAGGGGGGCCGTGGCAGATATTACCGTTAGCGACTTTGACTAAGCTGCGGCCAGCAGCATTTGTTGCTGCTGCTGTCGACAGCTAACTATTTATAAAGAATTTCCCGCCGTTTTGTAAACAAACTTGTGAGTGCACTGGGAGAAATAACATGATATGAGAACTAAAAATTAAAAAATATTTTACGTGTATTTATTTTTATGCTATAAACAAGATATTTTTCCAACCAAACCAAAAACCTGCCGTTTGAGGTCTAATAAACATAGAAAACCCAGAAAAACTGCATCTAAAAATTTTCAAAAAATATTTCCCACTCTGCAGAAGGAAACTCAAAGATTGGCCCCCACTTTCTTAACTCCCCACTTCAGTTTTTCATCTTCTTTCAGCAACTGGCACAATGGAATTGCATTGAAAACAAACAGTTAAGAATGTTTATAAACAAAACATGGAAAGAATGCGCTGGGTGGGAGGCTAGCATAGTGGGCGGGGCCATTGGGCCGAAGTGGCGCAGAAGGTGAAAGTATAACGTTAAATGTAAACAGCAAGTGGAGGTGCGAAAAAAATGCGTAAACAGAAATTGCATTGCCACAAAAAAAAAAAAAAAAACAACAGAGTGCGTGTGCAACATTCAAATGACTTACTAGCAACATGTTGCTAAGCCATCAGCAACATCAACAAAAAAAAGAGAGAGAGAGCGGGCATACAGAGAGTGACTTCATTTTCGAAAATGGAATTTCGAAAGAGAGAGAGCGTAAGTGTGATATGAAAAATAACATTGAATTTTCATGCCGGCTGCTGTTGTTGTTTTTGCCATTTTACATGCAGCTGAAAAACAGCAACAAAGAAGAAAAAACCAGGAAAATGCTGAAAAGCGCTGCCTCCCACTTTTTTTCACCCCAACCTCCCACCAGACATTGACCTTGATAGTGGTCGTTGTTGTTGTTGTTGTTGTTGTTCTTTCTCCGGCTTATTGAAAGGCAAAAAGTTGTTATTTTTTTATGATTGATAAATAGTGATTATAAGGGGATTGGTTTTATATTTCTGATTTTTTTTAATGGTTTATTTTCTTTGGGTAATTTTAGAATGATAGACTTTTAATGGGCAAGTGCGGAAAATGATATCTTGAAAAGGTAATTTACTTGTCTGGAAAGCCATCTGCTAAATCTGTTTTGAAGGAAGAGTCATTTCTAATTTCATATTTCAAATGAGATCTGAGTTCCATAACAGCTTTATTGATTACACAAAGTAAAGGAAGTTTCTTTATGTAAATTATTATTAATTTCCCTAAGAAAAACCCTTAAAAAGTAAACAAAAATCTAGAATTTAATTTAATGGTATTAAAAGAATTTGTAAAAATACCTTTCTTAAGGGCTTGGCTTTTTCTAGATCCGATCTTGAGGTGTTTTATCAGTTTATTATTTGTCACTTTATCACAGCTAAGGGAACTACCTACATATGTTTTTCCTCAAAACTTTCCATAAACTGTGGAAATGGGCTTGTTAAGCAAATACAAAAGTTGTAACTTTTGATAAGCAATGAAATTATCATATTACTTTTTGGATAAACAAATTTTACCAGCAAATAAAGAGTAAGAGAATGTAGAGAAGATGTTAAGTTCAATCTTAAATAACTTATGTTTAAGTAGGCAATAATAAGCTAAAAAATATTAGTAAATTACTTAAAAATAATAATATTAAAAACTTAAAAGAAAGTAAGCATGCTACCTTTACCCACAAAAACGAGTTCAACGACATTAAAATGCAAAATAAACAAAATTTAAACATTCTTTGTATGAAAAATACCAACTACCAGTAGCTGAGTTAACGTAATTTAATATATAAATATTTGCCAATTAAAAAAATTAATAAAAATGTTTAACATTTTCCCTAACTCAGCGTTAGCAGCAACATCCAACGATTTCCCAGTGCCAGCAAAAGGCAACTGCAATGAAAATCTGTCAAAATCCCGATTAGAATGAAGACTCAGAACAAGTTCATCCGCCCTGAGAATCTCTCTCTCTCTCTATGCTCTCGTGAAACCCCGGGGAGTAGTTCATTTTCCCCGAACTCTCACGAAGTTGCTGGCCGCCTACTGTTGCTGTTGTTGGTGTTGCTGCTGCAGATGTTGCTGCTATTGCCGCCGTCGTCAGTCGCTCGAAACGAATTTGGAATTCAGTTTCTGACTCGACATCGCTGAAAACGGACGTGAGTCTCGCGTGTTGAACCAAAAAATCGAATCACAAATTCTCAACGAAATACGAGACTTCTTTCGGTGTATGTGCAGCATATTAGTGGATTAAACCAAACAAAAAATTAATCAAAAATAATACAACAAATTGAAAGCAATCGAAAAATACGTGCGACGGTGCAAATAATAAATGTTTTAGAAAGAAAATCAAACAAAAATATTCTGTGTTGAGTGTTACAGCCAAAAGGAAAAGTTAACAAAAAGCAAAGCAAAATTCACAAGGCAATACTATATTGGATTAATTGGCTTGAATCTGATTTGATAAGCTATAGCAAAAGACAAGCAGAAACAGTTAAAGAAAGCACTTGACAAATATCCGTTGGAGTATAAGAAAAAAAACCAAAAAACAGGCAGAAAAAGCGGGTAAGTGGGCAGGGAAATGGAAAATCAAATCTGGATATGCGGCATAGAAATTGAAAACTTTTACGCAGCGGATTACTTGAGCTGCTGCTGTAGGCGAAGTGAAAATCTTCTTAGCTGGCACAGAGATACAGTGAGATCAACGGAATTTCCCTTTGATTAGGGATTTACAAGATCAAGAAATATATTTTGTATAAAGTTTGAATTTTTCCCAATCTTCAAAGTGCGGTGACTAATTGAAAAATGTTCAAGAGGAAGTTTGGTCATAAAAACTGAGATTTATGATAGGAAGTGGCAAAGCAGGGCTGGGGAATTATTCAAATAAGCAAGTGAAGGATTATATATATCTGATTCCAAACAAAGTTCCCAAGAAAGTGTGTTATGTTTATATCAAACAGATATCTGTTAAGCCATATAGAATTACCAGCAAACTGATGAGTGATGGAAACTATCTAACCAGAACTCGTATAGCCACCCTAGATCGCGGCTCCAAAAGAATGTAAACAAATCATCTGGCTGGGGCTGCGGCTTCTTGCCTTCTTCAAAGCGAACACAAACCGCCAAAGAGCCAAGGAAAATAAAGAGAAAAAAGACCTGAAAAAGAGGCCTTTAATTATAACCAAATAATAGTTGAGACGACACCTTTGTTTACCTGAGTTTTTTCATCTTTCATTTTTTCCATTTGGTAAATTTGTTTAAATTATTAGCAAACGCGCAACAAGTGCAGCAAACCGAAGTTCATTATTTCTCTCTTTCGTGTAAATCCTTTTGGTAAATAAGTATATATCCCCCTCCTCCTCCTGTCGACGGCGTAACTCATAAATTCACGCAAAATAAAATTTATGCCTTGAGTTTGGTGGGAGTTCAAGGAGAAGAAGTTCGCGGGATGGGAGGGCGGCAGAGTTGGACAAGAAGATGTACGAAAGATCGCGATAAGATCTGGTCTTAAATGAGTTGTTAAACGGGAATCGTGGCCGGCATGGATATAAATAATAATAACAACTCAATCTGGATTGTAGTCGTGGGTAGTTTAAGAAGTTAACTCTGAAAAAAGGTTTCTGAGTTCATGTGACTGGGAATCTGAAAATCTACCTGTTTGGCACAAATTGAATTTTAATTCGGAATTGAGTTGTACACATGTCGGGCCTTTTTCACAGGATTTCCGTTTGCTGTTTAGCCTTTTTTTCGAATGAAATCCCTCTTGAAATCCCTCCTTTGCTAATTAGTATGCCAAACGTGTGCCCATGAAATTTATAAGCCAACTGGCTTTTTCCTCTCCCCCAGTCTCTTTCTATAGTTGAAACATAAATTTCACAAAAAGTGTCGTCTGTTCTAGTGCACAGCAAGAAAGACACTTTAACAAGATCTTTCTCTGATAAAAACTTAATCCAGAAAACAGAAAATCTTTATAAGAATTTCCTCTCAGTGTTATATAGTCTCCCCATCACAGAACTAAGTTCATTGAATCGCGCTACTTATGGCATATTCCTAAGCTACTTACCAGGTAAACTCCGCTCAAACCTCAAACAGAAAAGTATCTTCTCTTATGCAAATAGGCCTCGATATGGTGGGGCCGGGGAACAAAAATAAAACATTGGCGGAAGAATATTAAGCGGTAAGAAATTGTAAACACAAAGCAAAATATTTGTTATACGCTTGTAAATTTATCGCGGCAGAAAAGTCCAGTCAGGCAAAAGGAAAAACAAAAAGGAAAAGCTCAGAGTTGGGGGAGGTCTTGAATTCGGGAGGCTGTTTTTCACGCTCAGCTGCCCTGCGGCGGCCGAAGAGGAGAAAGCCTAGCCAGAAAAAAAACAAACTTTATCGCAGTACTCGCAGGACATGAATTTTCCCTACCCCAAGCCAGACACCCCCTCAACTTCAGCCTTAATGCTGAGTGACATTGATGTGACATGCCGTCATCTTGCCCTCGCTTGTACCTCTCCCTCTACCTCTCCCTCTTCCTTTACCTTCTTTGCTTTATTTAAAAGTTTTTCTTTTTCATTTCCATTTTTTTCGCTTAACGCCTCGGGGGCGTGGCAAATTTTGTTTGGTTAGTAGAACAAACACACGCACACACAGAAACACTCACCTTGTGTTAAAAAACAACGCCTCGGTGGGACTTTTGGCCCAGGCAAATAATAAATGATATGTAAACTAAGTCAGAAGTTGCCGTAGGTTGGCTAAATCACAACTTAGGGGGCCAAAAACCCAGAGCAGAGCTCAGTAATTTGTGCGTGTGGCCATAGGCCCGAGGGCATTTGCCAGAGATTAAAGATGAAAAACTAGGGAAAGCCGGCTTTAAGATGGCTTGATGGAGGCGCTGAAAAATTCTAAGAAACTAAGAACTTTCCCTAAAGAAATCTCTGTCAGATAATAAAGTTATAAAACTAAATATATTCCTTAAAAATAATTACTATTTAATGGCAGGGCTAGATAAAACTTAATCTTAACGACATAAAACCTTATAGATCTCAGATTTTTGCAATCATTATTTCTGAGGATAATTCCGAGTGTCTGCCACATTTGTTCCACTTACGAGTCCGACAATACCCCGCTGTGCTATCACTGCCCTTAACTATAATGTCTCAATATACGAGAGCTAAAGAACCAGCGACCGATACAAATTCTTACCTGAGTTGAGTTTTTCCAAGGCCCAGACTGCAACGACGACGCACCCATATCAATTTCCTCTCTATGCGACCCAAAACGAATTAAAATTACACATTGACTGGCGGTCAAAAAGGAGGGAAGAGTGAGAGAGGGAGGGTAGAGAGGTAGTTATATAGCAGATATAGACAGTAGGGATTTTTTGGAGATCCTTTACCTTGTATCGAAGCCGAGCCGAAGGCCTGTCGCCAATGCCCGGAGAACATTTATCATTCCGGCTAATAAATGCCTTTCCCTTACCTGACCGACACACGAACCCAATTCCAATTGAGTCATAGTCCTATAGCAACCCTCGCTGACTTTTGGGCCATGTCCATCTAATTTTAGTTTTTTCCTTTTCCTTTCTTTTTTTTTTTTTTTTTTTTTTTTTTTGGTAACAATTTCCCAATCAAACAATTCAATTATGGGAAGTGTATAAATTTTTCAGCCAGCTGGCTTCTTGTACTTGAACCGCAATTGTCTTTTGTCAAGTACTGGAAGAAGTTTTCCCGAAATAAATCAACAATCAAATGGAAAAGAAAGTATAAAAGAAATTGCATTTGCTTTCCAAGGGGGGGTCAAAACCCTTTAATTGGGCTTGAAGTGTTTGAGTTATGATAAGGAGAAAGAGGGGAAGAGACAGCTGTCCTTATAAGTACTTTCCTTGCCAGCTTTAAAGTGATTATAAGAGTGTGCCCAGAGTCCTGTAAAAGCAATTATTTGAGTGTGCCCAGCTTTAAGACAATTATCTAAGTGCTTTTGGGCGCTTGCCTTTGATTTTGCAGATCCAATCCATTCAGTCTTCCTATCAAGACAAGAAGCTGCTCTGCCCACGCTAATTGCCCCCCGAAACTCCTTTACCTGATTCGGTTAGGACTTTGATTTCCATTACGCTTCCTTTTCAGCCTGCCTGTCCATAACATTTCCGTTTTACGCTTCAGTTAAGTCCGTTTCATGGCTAAAAGCGGGAGGCTGGGGATACGAGCAGTCGACTTAATCTCAAAACAAATCGATTTCGTTGACTCGGTGTGTCTTGAGTTTGGGTTTCCTTCTGAATACCAGCCCTGCTTCCTCTCTTTTTAGGTCTTTTTCAACACGATTTATTTCATTATTCTTGGCCAATGGTTTTTTTTTTTTGGTCTTTTTCTGATTTTAAGTTTCTTGTCTGCTTAAGTTAATCACCCAGACCAGACACAATTCAATCGATTTTCAAGGGACTCAGCCAAAAAACTAAAGCTTTAAGTTTTCTTGAAATCCAATCTTTGGGAGATTTCTTTCTTTTTTCCGCTTTTTTTTTTTACTTTTATTTTCATCCGATTTCTTTTGTTATTTATTAGTTTGGTCTGCGCCTGCCCTGGCTAGCTGAACTGGACTTGAATTCAATTCAATTTTCTTTACAACATTTCATCTTTGACATGTTTTGTGTGTCCGTCGGAGTGTCTGTTTGTCATTGTGTTTATATAACCAAGAGAGCTCCTCGGGCATTCCTCCTCCTTCGTCGTCTTCGTTTTTAATATCTTTTAATCTCCAATGTCAACAGCGGCTTACATTTGATTGCAAGACAACACATACACAGACACACATACAGATACTTACTGTGTATCTATATACTTTTTTTCAAAGATCTTATCAAGCTGCAGTGCCTCGAATCGAGTCTCCGCTCCTCTCCAGAACTGTCAGCTAATTAAACGAAACCAACTGGCAACATATGTTGGGAATGAGAATGAGAATAAGAATAACTTTCAGCCGCAGAACGAGATTCAGAGTTGGAATCACAAAACCCAACCTTGGACTTGCTTTACCCCACCAACAGATGGGCCATACTCTGAGCTGTCAGTGCAACAGAGAGGGAGAGAGGAAAGTCTTACAGCAGTCAAATGTTAAAGTTTCGATTAAAAATCCACTACTACTGCGCCTCATAACCCATACCAATAGCCAGGCAGGACCATCAATCATCGAACCTAACTCAATCGAACCCCGAAAAAGGTTTCACCAAGTCAAACGTTTTTTCTCAATTATTTTGTCAGCATATGTGTGAAGAAAAAACACAACCGCAGTCGTCAGAGAGGAGAAACAAAAAAAAGGATAATAATAATAAAAGTATTGAAAATAGAAAACAAGGAACGCGCGGGCTGGAAAAACTGGGGGTTAAACAATTGCCAGTGAGTCGACGAAAATCGGGGTGCAAAGGGATAAAAATAGCAGCGGTGGCTGGCGAGCTAAGTAAATAAAAATAAATAGCAAAAAATGGAAACGCATTAGGGAAAATCAATAAAAATTAACATTTGGCCACAGAAGGGGAGGTAGAGAGGTGGCATAGGAGGTGCCAAGGGGGTGGTTAGGTGGTAGACTCTCTCTCTTTCTTTCTTTTTGTAACTGAAACAGACAATCGTGTTTGCAGGGATATGGCCAGGATCAGGCTAATTACAGAGCTAGAATGCCCAGCAATTGTTACGTGCCAGGACATCCATGTGTGAGATAATTAGCACACAAAAGAAATATACATGGCCACATGCTGAGTGTACTTTTCAACTAACCAGAGTCCTTTTCCTTTTCTCTTTTTCTTTCTTTCAGCTACAAGGCCGCCAATGAAGGCTGTCCAGATGACAGCGATCGGGCAGCGAATTTGACACGCAGCCAAAAAAATCTTCAAAAAACGAATCCGAAATTTACAGTAGGGGAAGCCCTCTATATATATAGATAATCCCCTCCAGGCAACCCCTGGAAGATCGAGGAGGTATATATACCACACCCTCTTGCCCCGTCCAGCCGGAAATCACAAAAGGAATTCAATGTGGAAAATGCTGGATATGATGGAACTGTCCGAAGCCGAGCTCTTTATGTTCGACTGCGACGAGTGCTCGGGCACGCCCCTTGCCCCACCGCCACAGTTCTTTATCCCACCGCCACCAAGGCCGCCGGCTCTGGCTGAATACACGGTGGTGCCACAGGATTGCAATGAGGAGCAATTGGCCCAGCAACAGTGGGACAGCGATGTCTGCCAGGCAATGCCGGTGAGTTGGTTTTACTATGTTTTTCTATGTTTTACACTTGAAAAAGTAAATATCAACAAACTCATATCAAAGATCCTTCATTTGCATAGAGTTTCTTAAACTAAAAATAACACTGCCTACTTTTAGACACCTTTTTTAAGAGATTTTGTAATCCCAAAAGTTTAATCTTACATTCCTGACCTTCAACTACACTTCTTCCCCTCAGTGCAGCTTAGGCTGATTATAATTTTGAGGGCGTTGCAAATGGGATTTTCCAAACCAAGCCCAACCCCAATGGGCTGATGATTATGCAACCCAACCTCTCTCTCTCTCTCTCTCTGTGTGCGTCATAATGAGGCCTGCATTTTGGCACAGCTGTTGAGATTTTCCCCCCCGTACTGTTCCGCGAAACGAGTTGCAAAGTGATTTGAGTTATATTTTTGTGAAGAGGTGTCAGAATTGTATGTTGCCTTATTGAATTATGTTCTATATGCATATTACAATAACAAAAGCCTTCTTGTCGACTCTCAAGTGGTGGGTTGTGGCCATGGGCGTGGTGATTATGAACTGGTAGTTGTTGGAAAATGTTAACAGTTGAGTGGAAGCTACAAAAATTAACTGAAGAATGTAAATTGATTTATTGACAGAGTGAAAAAAATGATAACACCTGATAGGAAATCTGTTCGATTTGTGGTGGGAAATGTTAATTGGTGGATTCTACTTCACCTGTCTAACTCCCAGAGGAGATCCTTTTAAAGAATAAATCGATTTAACATAAAATTCAAGCGAATTCCAACCTCTTTTTAAACTCCTTTCAACCTCTTTAAGGCCATTTAAGTCTGCCAACCAAAAGAAACAACAAGAAAAAGAAAACCCAAACAGACTCGATGAAAAATCACCAACATGCCACGCCCACTTGAGCCATACATCGCCCACAATTTTTGGGGGTGCCGTCAAGAACAACCGCAAGGAATCACTTTAAAGCAAAGTGAAACAAATTTCTTTTCGTTTCAAGTCCTTTTGGCCTCGAGAGTTGCCCCAGCAACAGCTGTTGCTCCTTGGAAGTGTTGTTGCTGCCGCTGCCCTCATCATTATAAGGACACGTCGACGACGATGCTGGCCATCCCTCCCCCCTTTTGGACAGTTACAGAAATTACAATAACAATGAAAAGTTAAGCGGCAGCACAACACACGCACACCCAGAGTAAAAAAAAGGACAACAGAAAAAAAAAAAGCATTTTTCGGCAACATATGGCCCGGACGAAATCAACCCTCAACTTTAAAAGGTTGTCAGCGGTTACAAAGGAACAAAAATAATAGATATTTCTATATAAAGTTTTGTTACTTTTTTTTTTTTTTTTTGGGTGCTGCCAGCCAGAAAAAGCAGCCAAATAGATAATTTTCCATGTGGAAAAACTGTAACTCGGCACTCGTCTAATCTGGGGCAAGTGTTTGTTTAGGCGATGAAGGATGGGGGTTTCTTTTCGTTTTGGGTAAAACAAAGATCAAATTCCACATATCAACACCGCAGCAGCGGTCATTGATAAAATTTCACGTGCCCCAAAAAAATGGGAGAGAAGAAAAAATGAGAATCGTCTGACAGCGAGCGAACTCTCAACCCCCTGAACTCGTCGTCGTCTTCGAGTGTTTTCCACTTAATTTCCAACATGATAAATTTAAATAAATATAACCCAAAACGAAAACTCCAACGAAAGCGGGAAAAAAGTGTAGAGCCATTATAAACCGGATCTGTGTGTGGTCCCCACACAGATCTTAGAGCATTTTTCGGTGTGTGGGCACTTGAGGCTGTCGTCCGTTTGATTTATGCTGACAAATCAAATGTTAATGTTAACATGCAGTTTATGTCAAGGAAAACTGTATCTCACGGCTCGCGGTCTAAAGTATCAGACGAAATCCAAAACTCAAATCGAAAATCCATAAGATTATTTTCAATATTAGACACGCACACACACAAACCCAATTGCAATTCCACATAAATCGCAGGTAAACACATTAAAATCTCAGCGAAATCAGCTTAAAATCAATTTGAGCAACCGAATCAATTTAATGGATTAGCGTTGACGAATAAAATTCAATGGCGGAAAGCTCTTTCGCCCATCAAATTGATAAGTTTAACGGCGAATTGTGCCAATTTGGGGGCGGTGTGTGTGTGTGAGTGTGTGCGTGTGGGTGTAATTGTCAACTGGCAGAAGGAAAGGCAAAGGAAAAACTCAAGAGAGAGAGAAAAAGTAAAGCTTGAAAAAAACACCACCAGCGAATCAGGAAAAAACCTTTAAAAGGCAAACGGAAGTGGCATCCTCGCCAGACATGCGAAATTAAATTTCCACCAAGTGAATGTATATGTATGTGTATATGTGTATATGTATGTGTGTGTGTGTGTGTTAGCCAAGCCAAGGAGCAAAAATACTTGACAAGCAGCTTCTGATTTGCTCCAATGGGCGTGGCAGCAAATAATCCTTTTTCCAGCTTTCGCTTCCTTCTTCCTCCTTGAAATATATATTTTGAAGCTCTCCTTTTAAGCAGACGAGAAACTGTTGAAGATGATGATAAAGGGAGGGGAAGGGAGGGGTAGGGACTGGGCGGACGAAGGACATCCAGACTTGGGTGTGTAGCAAATAGCATGACATTGATATCAAATGTCGTGAGAATGCGAAATTCCTTAGCTACTTCTTCCTATATATAGCTAAATTTGTTGCCTTTGGCTTTTGTTGTAGTCTGCTTTTGGGCGCTTTGGCTTTTGGTTTCCGAGGAATGACTGGGTGTTCGTGTGGGTGGTGTTGGCATAGAATGACAAGGCCATTGTTGTTGTTGCTGTTGCTGCTGTTTAGTGTTGATGTTGTTTACAGTTGACATAGCCAGACACAGCTGCAGACAGTCACAAAAATCAGAGACAGAGAGAAAGGGAGCCGAGCCAGCCAGCTCTCTGAACGAAAAATATTTGTGTGCACAAAAATTGAATTTTCATGCGATGATATATTCCTCAAAAATATATACACAAATATTCTTTTGCTTCAATAAATAAAATGGAAGAAAAAATAGGAAAATGTCAAAGGACTCCGCCTTATAACTTAAGAATTTAAAATCTCTTAAAGAAGATTTATCTTTAAGCTTAACTAAAAAGTAAATTAAAAATCATTTTCTTCTTTAAAATGTAACCAAATTTAAATCCAGTTTTCTTCCCTTTCTTTTCCCAACAATCTTAGTGCATTTTCCATTTTCTGTTGCATTTTTCCACTACCCCCCACATTATCGTCGCCATCTTAGCCACATCGGCCCAACAAGTTTCGCAACTCATTACACCCTCCGAACATCTTATGGGAATGGGGCTCAATCACGAGCTGTTTCCAAACAATTGCACTGCCAAGTGGTTACAAAAGCCCCGAGGGGGCTGAGCACAATGAGCAGGAGAAGTGGAGAAACCACCACCAGGTCGATTCTCGATATGCACGTGCAATGAAATCGAAGTTGGAGGTGCACTTTGGGGTGCTAAAAAAAAAGAAGGGGGAGAAAAAGAAAAAAGAGAAAAAGGCGCCAGCCAGCCAGCCAGCCAGCCACACATGCATCGCATGTTCGGAAAACTTTTGCCATGTTATCAAAGCAGGCAAGTTCTGGCCTTTGTTGCTGTTGCTATTGCAAAATAGTTTTCATCCTGCAAGTGGCACGTGCTTGTTGCTGCTGGCTTCTCCTTTTGTCGTGTTTTGATGGTGAAAACTTTTGTGTTTTTCTCATCAGGCACGAAAATGAAAACGCGCTAGTCGTTGACTTTGCTACTGAAAAGTTGTTAACTTTAAAGTTTCGGAAGCGGTGAGAACTTTTCTATATATTATGAGTCGATGTGCAGGTGGAAACTCATTTTGATGACTGATTTTGATGACTTGCCAAACGGTCCCCCTTCCTCCCCCTCTTTTAGTTCATTTTACAATGTTGCTTTGTGCTTTTTTATGCACTTTGGCCACACTTAAAATCTGGGTCAAAGGCAAACATTTCACTTTATGGCCTACTCAAGTCAGACCAGAACTGCCGCCCTTGAGCCTGGTGATTTTTCATGATTAAAAAGTTGCCACCACAAGGCCGGAAAAACATTCACCCAGACTCCCACACAGAGCCACTCCCACAAAAACTCACACGCATAAAAGTAAACAACATTTTCCAGCTCTGCCTGCGTTAATCTCACTTTGCCTTATTCTCGCTTTTTATTATTATTATTATTTCTTTTTCTTTTCCTTTTTTTTATTTTTGGGTGGGTGTAAACTTTAAGCCATAATTTTATATTCCACCCGAAAACCCCCACCGACTAATGGCTTTTGTTGTCTGCAACTTCAAGGAGGGCTTAATTATTTTATCGGCCAAGTTGTTCTCCTTGCACGGAGAGAAATTAAGGGGTATTTTTAGTCTCTATATGAGATGTTTAAATTGATTTTGAAGTAACCTAGTTTTTCCAAGTGCCTACTGTTGGTTTTCCCTAGACATAAATCGTTCAAACTCTTATCGTTATCTTCGGTTTACATTGCCTACTCCTTTTTTTTCCTGCTTTTCTTTATTTAATTTAATTTATGGAATGCCCATGGGGTTAGGCAGTGTGTGTGTGTGTGTGTGTGTGCTGTTAAATAGGAAACGGAGTGAGGGGTGAGGGGGGTTATTACAAACGGCCTAGATGGAAAGCCTTCAATCATACCACCGGTGGCATTGCTTATCTGGGCAAACAGCGGCCAACTCTGCTTCTGTTGTTATCGATAATGCGACTCTGTTTGCTTTGTATTTTGTTTTTTCATTTTCATTTTTTTTTATCTTCGGGTTAATCCGTAAGGCAGCTGGAAGCGTTTCGGTGGCAATCGACAACTGTTGCAATGTATACAGTTATTGCCCTCCCCCCACGGCTGGCCCCCTCCCAACTCCAACTCCTCCCCAAACGATCTTCACATTCATTTATTTGTTTGGCCCCAAAATGAGCATTACAAATAGGTAAACGCCTTCCAAGTCCACAGTTACATGTGTATGTATTTTGGATTTATCGATTATCAACGCAGGCACTGAATGCGGATCAAAATTGAGTGGAAAATGCGTGAAGGGAAAGGGAAATCTTGCTCAGGCAGGCGAGACAAAAGGAAATTGTTTCATTTTCTTTGACCAACGATTGAAAATAGTGAAGTTGGGCAAGTGTAATTTCTGTAAAAAGCAATTGGGAATAGGTTAGGAGGTATAGGGGGGGATCTTATATTATTATGGTAGGGTATCAGGCAAGGCATATTGATTTTCAAAGAGATTTTGTCACCTATTAAGTAGCAAAACTTAAAACTTTACTAATTCTTAGTCTTAATGTTTTAAGTATTTCCCTTTTTTAACTTAAATTTTCTTCAAAATATATCTTTGTACCGCCCTTGGCCATTCCCCCAAGACCCTTTTCCCTGCTCCAAATTCAAATGAATTGGAAATGATCGAAGCCCAGAAAAAGACAAGACACACCGAGAGGGAGAGAGACTCGTGTCAGGTCTCATAAATCAATTTGATTACGAGCAGTTTGGGCAGCTTCCCCCTGCCAGATTTCAAGCTTTTGCCTTTGCACTGCTCGCTCACACATGCCACGCATAATTGTTTAATTTATTATTATTTGTATTTCGTTTTTTTTGGACTCTCTGAATGGGTTTCAAAATACAAATTTCTTAATTTTTATTTGTGTGTTTCGGTGATAAGCAATCCAAATGCGAGCAGAGGGAACAGCCCCCTTTCGATAATTTAAACAATTTCGCCATGTGGAAAACGGCTGTTGGATGTCAATATTTTAATGGCTTATCTACAAGGGGCTGCTCTCAGTCTCTCTCTCTCTCTTACAGTTTCTGTTTGTTTATGCGCTCTCAAATCCGCATTTGTGTTTTGCTCTCAATGGAATCTGAATAATATTTATATTTGCTGCTAGCGCATGATTAATTGCCCCGCTTTGATAAGCATTTGAATTCAGCGAGAGCTTCCGCATTTGGCAACCGAACTGTGCCACACTCGTATTAGTATTTGTATTTGATCTGAGTAAATATAAATCGAAATTGAAAAGTTGGAAAAATGCTTTTAATAAATTAGTAAATGCACAAAATGCATTACGAATTAAGGGGTAACCTAGATTCGGGAAACAAAGAGAGTGCCGGTTAAAAGTAAACATCACACACAGTTGCCGGCGAAATTATTTGCACAGCTGTCAAAGTTTGACCCCAATTTCTGTGTTTGGCCAAGCTGCACATCTCTCCCCTGTGTCTTGCTTTCTCGTTCACACACTCTGTATGTCTCTTTTGGTCAAAAAAATATTTTCCATGTTTTTGAGTGATTTATGCCGTCTGTGTGTGTATGTGTGTGTGTGTGTGTGCCCCAATGACAGGTGCATTTGTGCGTGGAGGAGTTTCCTTCGTTTATTGTTTTGCCTTTTTCAAGTTTGACTCTCTCGCTTAGGTCAAAGGCCCAAATGGAAAATCAAATAAATAAAAATAAAAATACTTAATGCAAAATATTTTTATTTTTAGTTTAACTTCCTTTTGACAGTGACAGGTGAGAGGCGGAAATAAGCCTGATTAGCCAAAGCTTGTCACTGGAAAGAGATTAGAAAAATCCCACTAAAATATTGATTTTTCTTCTCTCTAAAAAAAGAAAACTTCCTCCGTATCAATCTCTATTCACTTTTCGTATCAACTGATTTCCCTTATTTATCCCCGACTTCATCATTTATTTAGCAAATTTTTTTCTTTTTTTTTTTGCATGCCCAAGCATAAATTCAAAGGCAAATTGCCCGCCTTATTCCCCACTCTCAGCTGACCTTAATTTCCTGGTCCTGGGGCCTGGTCAAAAAAGAAAACCTAGCGGGGGAGAAGAAAAAAAAAGGTAAAACGCCTACACACCCAATCTGAATTTTGAGGAAAAGCCAAAGTAACCGAAAGGTTAACAGCCCAAATCGCGTGCGCTGCGCTTTTGTTTGCATTTCGTTAGGCATATTTACGAAAATATTTTCCTCTTGCCAACAGTTTGGGTTTTCTTCTGGGGGCCCTCCTCCTCCGCTCCCCCCCTTTGTTTATATGCAAAATGGCTTTGTGTTTGAGTTTAGCGTTGATTTACTCACATTTAACTTTTACTTTTAAACCGCCCGCCCCGCCGCCAAAAAACACACTCAACTAAGACCTCTCTTTCTTTTCCATATCTTCTTTTTGCAGATCTTGGATGCCAGCCTGTACAGCAGCCAGACGTTGGCCACATCGGCCATGATAGCCGTGTTCGCGCTGCTCTTGGTCTTGATTGTTCTCATCTCGTCGCTGTTCGTTTGGAAGTAAGTACACTTGAAGAAAAGGTTTTAAATATACAAAAAGGGGGAGTTTAAGATGATGAAGAATGATGGAAGTTTTTGATATGGCTAGGGAAATCCCTTACAGTAAGAGCCATCTTTTTCCCTCTCCTTTTTTTTCTCAGTGCAATGTACATAGATCCCCGCAATGACTCAATTACTTGGCCTGGCCCACACACACACAAACTCGCACACGAGTCATTTCCCCTGCAAACGCCTTGTGTGGCTTTGTCTTGAACTATCAAGGCGGCTGGCTTGTCCCCTTCTGGCAACTTTATTTTTTCTCTTTCTTTCATTTTGATTTTTTCTTCATTTTTTTCCTTTACTCTGCCGCAGTGGAAGCTGCAGACTTTTGAGGCTTTAAAGGAGGCGTTAACCATTGCCTGCAACATGTTGCTCTTTTGCCTTTATGATTTATGTGGCCCCAAACCGCAGAAAATGAAGAGTGGTAGATAGCTGGGATGCGATAAAGAGGCGGTGGTGGTCTAGCTGCATTTCATGGAAGTCTTTGGATTCAACGGGCAGAGGTTTAAGTTTTAAAAATAAATGCAGGAAAAACAAATAAAATTTATAAAATAAATCCCCCAAGAAGACGTAAATAATGCAATTGCAAAGCTCTAAAAAACTTAATCAACTCAGGGCCAGCTCAGAGAGGATAATAAATTCTCCCCAAAACCCTTGCAAATAAAATGAAATGCAGGGCAGGGCAGAGCAGGGCAGGACAGGTGCAAATACAGGTAAAAACACGGCGGTGGCTAAAAGTGTTGAGCCGCAAAAATGTTCACGCCGTATGAAAAATGCAAGCAATGCATAAACATTATAAAACTATATCAAAAATGTATGTAAACATGCGAGAAAAAATTGTGGAAAAATGAAAGAAAATGAACTAGAGAAATAAAAACCCATTTGCTAAATCTGTCGAAGCGAGGGGAGAGAGCAAAAGAGACAGGGAGAGAAATGAAAGAAAGAAAAAAACGCGTTGCCAAACGAAAATTAATGTAGTCTACTTTTGAGCGGAGCCACACTGACCTATATGGCAATGTAAATGTGCGAGCATTTACGTGTGTATGTATGTGTGTGTGTGTGTGTGTGTGGGTGCACTTAAAACCGAAACTAAATTAAATTGAAATTTTAAATAAATGTTGCCGCTGCAGCTGCAAGAAAAAAGCACGTGAGAAATGGTTCAGGCACACACACAAATCAACTTTCAGTTGGTTTAGTAAAAAAAAACCCCTCACACACACACACACAAGTAAAGATATAAAACAATTTACTTTTACAGTCTCTACAACACACACCCACACACAAAAACACTCGAAAAAAAAAACTCAGTCAGATTGCAAACGAAATGAAATCTGCAGCAGAAATAAACCACAAAGGAGGAGCAGCAAAAAAAAAACGAAAGGGGGGAGGGCGAATGGACATTGTTTGCATGTAATGCAGTGTGGAAACAGAGAGCCAGGAAAAGCTGGGAAAGCTGGAAAAGATTTTTGCACGCACAGCATACATGTACCAGTTAGTAGAAACGAGAGGCAGGCTAGATAATGGCTATGGGCAAGGCCACAGCTTTTTCGACTTTAAAGGGTTAAAGTTTGGTCTTAAGGTTATGGGATTTCTCCTCCTTCGACAAAACCCCCTCATTAACATCAACAAGTGTGGAAGTAACATCAGGCTATAGCTAACCGAAAAACCCAAGGCTGACCCAAAATCGATTTTCCTTTCAACAACAATACGCCACTTGTTCGGAAATATTCATGGGTAAAAGTCTACGAGGAAAATGGCAGGGAGTTATGGCTACAAGCGATTTTCATACATATTCATTAAAGTTTGCTGACCGCACGCACGCACAGTGGGTGGGAAAATGGTTGGGAACTAGGGGTCTGGGGCGGGGGGGGAAAGAGGAAAAACAACATTGTATGTTGTTGTTGTGCTTCATCATTTTTGAGGTTATGCCTCGACATAACAAAGGCAGCAAAAAATACAGGACAAACGGGCATCTTTATTACATAGTTATCTATGCAAGTGTGTGTGTGTGTCTGTCTGAGTGTGGGTGTTTCTGCTTTAAGTGTCTAACTGACCTCCCCCCTTGTATGTATGTGTGTGTGTGTGTGCCACATTTGAGCCATTTTTGTGGCATTTATGATGTGGCACATTATTTTTGCTTTTATGTGCTGCGTGTCCTGGAGACCCCAGAAAAAGGCAAAAAGGAAAAGCAAGGCAAAGGAAAAGGGAAGAAAACAGACATAACTATGAAAAGCCATAAATAAAATAGCAACTAATTTTATTTATATTTTCTGTTTGAGCCTCAAAAACAAATCAAATAATCATAAAGCAAAACACTGGAAGAAAAAAGTCTGTGGCAAGCTTGATTCCTGCTCCTCTGTGCGTGGTCTTTTAAATTCTTGATAAATAATTAATTAAAATGCCCCAACACATTGGCCGCCCCCCTGAACCGATTATCATATAAAATTCAAACCATAAATTGCATTTATTATGATGCATATTCAGCCCTTAAAAAAATAAACCAACCCCCGCCCAATCCCTTTGGCATTTCCGCTGGTAATTACCTTAATTATTTTAATAAACCGCCAGAGTGTTTTCAGCACTCTCCGCTTGCCACACACACACTTTGCTGCAAATGTTTGCATATTGGAACTTTATTAATTACACGATATGCGAGTGCCACACCAAAAACCATATGCAACATGTGTGTGTGTGTGTGTGTTTGTGGCAGCAACAAAAAATGCAAAAAAAGAAGACAAAAAATCTGAAGCCCTCGTCTCGTTGTTATTAAAATTGTTAACATTGTCGTCAGTTAATAATATTTCAATAAGCATACATTAAATGCTTAATTTGTAGACAAATAATGATAAAATATTTTACAATTTCGAGGCAGCCACAACTTCAAGGCCCCTGTTCATTCATATTAAATGAGCAGAGCAGGGTAACCCTGGCAACCATGGAAAGTACAAGTTATGGCAGCATTAACATTGCTTTTCCTTAAATAAGTAAAATCATTTTTACCTTAAATGCCTTTTTTCCCTCACGCAATAACAATAAAAATTTCTCCAAGTAGCTGGGTTGTCTTGGCAATTTTTAATCAAATGCAACGCAGGCCTATGCCAGAGTTGCCATGTTACCCTATGACTCATGCCTCTCAGCTGTTTCTTCTTCTCTTTCTGGCTTTTTGGTAATTTGATGCCTAGTCGAGTCTTGCCCTGCGGTTTTGTTTCTGCGGTCAGTTTGTTTGTTGGCCTGGCTGGTCTGGTTGACTGCAGTGAAATTATGCAATGGTCATTCCAAAGGGGATTCCGAGTGGAGATCAGAGTTTAGCGGGGAAGGGCAAGGGGCAAGGGGCATGTGGCCGGCAGACCACCAAAGTGGCGGTGTCGGTTTTGTGGCCCCCAGTAAGCAGTCAAATAGCATTTACTTTGACTGCAGTTCAAACGAAATTATTGCCTGGGAAAATGTATTCATTAAGTGTGGTCAACGGAAAAATCCAAGAAAAATTAGTTGGTTAGAGAAACTGAAATGTGATTTTATGGGTTAAAGATTCATTGATTTTTCCCTATAACTCTCGTACACGCTTTAACATTTCCCTCTACCTATGCAGATTTGATTTTCCATTGCTGCCTCTTTAGATGCCTTGTTAGAATCTCTTTGCTGGCAATTTCCATATCAAAGTCTTAACACGCCCAGCCAACCAACTCCCCTTTGCCTACCTTGGGAATATTTGTAGTACTTCTCCTTATTCTTTTCACCATTTCACCATTTCGCCTTTGTAGTTTTACTTTTTTACGTGCCGGGCGGGTTTTACTCTTTTTTTTTGCTACCCCCAAAAGATGGCAGATGGAAGCAGTAGGAGGTGGGAGCCAGGAGAACTTTAGTTCAGAGTTCATAAATAAAAGATTCACTTCTTGCCAAGCAGTAACTCCCTCACACGCACACACAATACACATTGTTGCCCCTTTTGGTTTGCCGGCAACGGCTACGGCTACTTTTTATTGTGAATTGCTTATGGCAAAAGGAAAAACCCGTGTCTGTAGCTTTGCCCCCCAAAGGTATTTCGCATTTCGCATTTCGCATTTGGCTTAAGCTCTGCATCAACCCCTTTCATTCTCTTTGCATACATACAAATGGTTTACTTTCTTGCCAAATTGTACGACACTCTGGGGGATGACCCAGAAGGGTCCTGGACTCACTCTCTTTATGGCCAGTTGGCCATAACGCTTAGAAATCAAACAAGCCTCTCAAAGGGGTTAAGCTAAGAAGGAGACCTCTACTCCTATCACACACTTTCCCCACTCATTCTTGATTTCGTTTTTACGCCTCGTAAGTGAAATGAAATGAAGAAGCACAGAGAGTCAAACAGGGGCCAGGCAAGGGAGTGTGCCTTGGCTTGGCTTGTGGCATGCCACATTATTTAATTTACTTTTAAGAATATTCCAACAGGCAGACGCTTCATTCTCAACCTCATCCCCAGACTCTCCACAGCTCCTTCTTCTTGTCTTACTCTCAGCCAAAAGTCAACAAGCTGCTCTTCAGCAAGCTAACATAAAATGTGAGAGGCGTGTGTGTGTGTGTGTGGGCTATTATATCCTGCAGGGAATCTGGCATAATGTACATTGCTAGATCCAGTTGGTAACTCAGCCAATAAGGACTTAAAGTATTTCACTTCGAAAGGCCTGAAAAGCTCTTCATTTAATTGGATAAATTTTACATTGAGATTATTAAACTTATCTTAAATCTTAAGTTTAAATTCAAGTTTAATCTCTCATTGAATTTAGTTTTAAACTAGAACTAAAAACCTTAGCTTAGTTCAAACAAAATTCGTCTTTGCTCGTCCTTCAGGGCAAACGCCCAAAAAGTAGGCAAGCATTTTTAATGTCTTCCCCACAATCACTTTCCACGTGTGCGTGCGTCTGTGTGTTTATGTTTGTGTTTGTGTTTGTGCTCGGGCGGCTGAGAGTTTTTACGAGCGACTTCCGTTTTGACATCGCAACATGTTTACCTACAAGATATTACAAGGAGTTGCCGTGGCTCATCCTTACCAGCCAGTTACGTGGCGCGTCAATTTAATTTCACATTTTTCATTATGCTTATGGCTGAGGGAGAGGGCAGGGTAGATCCTTGGCATCCTCAAGGCTGTCTGTTTTCTTTGCCACGGGCAACACTTAATTATGTTCATTATTTTCATGGCACGCGGTTGTCGCTTCTTGGGAATCCCCTCATCATCATTCCTCCATCCCTGACGTTTTCTGCTCATTTAAATTGAATTTTACCTCTGTCTCTGTGAGTGTGTGTGTGTGTGGGTGTTTGCTGCTTTGGCATTCTTTATTAATCAAATTGTTTTCGGGCAATTTTCCATGAAGGCGAAAGCTTGGCCTTTGGCTTGTTTACCTGACATTTATCAGAGAGCTGCTCTCCCAGTTGGTCATTACAAATCGATTTATCTTTGGCTTGGGCCAAGAACTTATGGCTCTATTAGCCAGGGTAGGGGAGGGGAGGGTGGGGAATGGTAGTTGGAAGCCCAACATCATCATCATCATTCGTCTTCTTTAGGTATCCTTGAAGCATTTATTAATCGCTTTCTTCTCTTCGTTCTCTTTTGCAGAAACAAACGGAAGGTGCAGAACCTACTGCCCTGCAAGACACCCACCCGAGGAGGTCCCGGGGCCATGCCTTTGGGCGGTGGCACTTTGGGATCGGCGCATCATCATCATCATCACGGGATGTACGAGGATCCCGATGCGCATTTGGGTCATCATAGACCCTTGGTTATGCATCGGCATCATCATCACCAGCAGCTGGCCCATCACTATCAGCAGCATCACTCCGAGGTTAGTATTCTCATATCCTTTATCCTTTACAATTCGATTCCCTCCCTCAAACTCAACACTGACTAAACACAAATCGCTGTCAAAACATTGCTTGCTGTTATTGTCTCTTGCTCGTTCAGGTTACTGGTCTGTTTTTGATCCTGTCACATGCAATTCAATTGTCCCTGTAAGACGAAACCACATTTCCTTTTTGCTTTGGCAAGGATGGATATCCCTTTCTGCATATTTATTCATTTATGTCTATGGCGCTCTTTATGCCCATTGTACGCCTCAATTTACACTTGAACTTGACATGGCACATGAATCTATATAAATATATATATATAAGCGACTGACATATATGTTATGTGAGTAGGGCGGGCAGGGCATATCCTGTGAGTCGGCGGCTACCCTCAGTCAGCTTAATTTCAGCTCCTTTGTGTGCCTAAATATTTTACGACTCTGACGCCTCGAAGGCTTTTTTGCTCTGACCCAAAACGTGTTTTCTTTATGACGGCGTGCCCCCTCTCTCACCCTGCATTTTTACTTTATTTTTTTCATATTTTATGTTCGAAATTTTGCGCTTTTGTGGCAGGAACCTCACCCTGTGTGCCTGCCTGGAAGTGTGTGTTTATTTTATTGTCTGATAAACAGCTCCTTCAGGGATCTCACAATATGAACTGCTGGCTTAAACTTTTTAGTTTTTCTGCTTGGCATTCACTTCTCGTGACAATTTTTAATTTCTCTGGCAGCTGACCTAGTTTTTTTTTAAAGCTCAATTGGTGGTAAGAACAAGGAACCCTTCAACTTTTACTCTTAATACTTAAACTGGGGCATTTTTACTTCCTTTTCCTTACGCATTTATTATTCATTTTCTCGTGGCATTTTTAACTTCTTTTTTTTTTTGCCTTTGTCAGCTTTGTTCTGTTTCAACAACTGCTTATGCTGCTTGGTTGCCTTCCCTTGCCTTGCAACTTGCCCCTTTTCCTTCTGCCTCCCTGCGCCTGCCTGCCTGCTTGTCCTGTCACTTTTCAAAGTCCTGCTCGAGGGTACATGGCTGTAAAGCGGCTTACGAAGGAAAACCTTTTCCTTTCCCGCAAGAGGGTTGCAAATGCCACACCGAACAGAAAAGTTGCAAAAACATTAAGTTTCATATTTTCAAAATACATTTTTATAAATATTTTCCGCTGTGTATGGAAGAAAGTGAAAGTAACACCCACCCCTCAGCCCCCTTTTCTTAAGTTCTCTTTTCTTTTAACAATAACTAACTAATTTATTTTCCTTATTTTCCTTACAGCTGCTCCAAGGCAAAAGCATTCACTATCCCAGCGGCTATCCCATGACGCGTTCGCCACCATTCTTGGTCAGCTCCTCACCTGGACCCGATCCCTATCGCTCTAATGACAATGTCTACGAAGAGTTGGGACCGGGACGCGTTGATTCCGATGGTGAATCAGAGCCACCACTTCATTCCGATGATGATTTCGCCGAAGATGAACTCTCACTGCCTGGCGAATGCAGTTTCCAGAAGGAAACCAATCTGCCAGTAGCAGCCGGTGCCACGCCCTACCACGAGAGGGCGGCGGGTAGCAGCAGCAGCGGAACAGGAGCCACGGGAGGAGCACCTGCTACATCCACGAATCTGCCACAGGCTACCCAAGAACGGCACAGTGTCCTGAGCAGTGGTTCTTCATCTGGCCAAGATGCCTCCACGGCCACAGCTTCCTCAGTCAGCAATAATAATCATGATTTGGCTTCCGGATCGAGCAATCGTCGTACCACTCGGACGCGACAAGCTCGAAGTTCTCAGGATCTGGATCTGAACAACAGCACCTCCACGGCGGATATTGCTGACTTGGCGCCGTTATACGACAACCGTAGCAATCTCATGTCCTTGGGATACATGGCTCGTTCTACAGCTCCGCAATTCTACAATACCCTGGAGCATGAAGTGGAGCGCAGGAATAGGATTAACGCCCAGCTTAGTAAAACTCCAGTGCCTCCGCTATCAACGATCTACCGGGAACGCATCCGCTATCCCAATGCCAGCCAACAGTATCCATCGAGTGCGGCCAGCGGTCTGATGGCAGCCACCATGAGGGCGAGAACTCAGCCAAGGGTATTAGATCGTCGACTAGCACCACATCAGCATCAACATCATCGCATTCATGCCGCACCAATGGCCCAAGAGCCATCCTACTGCTATGCCGAGCCCATGTACAATGCCAACTATTACTACGAAAGTGCCGGTGGGGCACGGCCCTATGCCTCCACGCTGTTACCCACAGTCGGTGATTATAGACATCCCTATGGCGATTCTAGTTTTGGTTCCGATTCGGGATATAGTCATCATACGCCTGCCAGCTCTATTGGACGACAGGACTACGACCTCGCCGAACCACAGCAAATGCCAGCAAACCAACCGAAGCCCAGCAAACTGAGTTCAGCTTTGAACTTCAGTTGGAATCGCAACTCGCGTGGCAAGGGTGCGCCTGGCGGAGCTGTGGCAAAGACCTCGGGCAACAGCAGCAATAGTAGTGCCACAAGTCCGAACAACAATAGCAGTGCCTGCTCCACTGTCACCTCTCAGTTGGAGAACAACAATACTGCCAGTCTCTCACCAGCGTAGATAAACTAAACTAATCAAATAGACATCCTATCAGATATAATCCTTTGTAAATAGGGACTAGAAACCCTCATGTACAGTTAGTCATATCGCTTAACACTAAGTATACTTAAATATCAAAAAACAAAAACTATCCTGCGTGTACATCGTCAAAGCAATAGTTATTTAACATCAACATATTATATATAAACTAAAATCGATGCAGAAGAGCCCAAAGTTTCTTGATAGGTTTATCGAAGAAGGGTCATAGCCATACCACCAAGTTTTCGCTCTGTTTTAAAAAGCAAATAAAAACTTGTCGCAAAGCAAAGAACTTATAGGTCCTAAGTGTTTTTCCAATGTGATCAGCCAAATTCTACAATATAAAAACTAAACTAAACGAGCAACTGCGAAACTAATTTATACTCTAGTTCTATTTAGTGTATGCCTATAAGTTATTCTTAAGTTTAACTTTAGTTTTGTTTGTTATTTTAGTTCTTAAGTGAAGTTAAGCGAAGTGAGAAAAGCTGCGTTGCACAGAAGGTCAACGAAAATATACCAAAATATTATAAAAAAAAACAAATTGAAATTTATGAAATTGTTTTTATTTTATTTTTAAATTTCTTAATTTTTAGTTTTATTATTAAATTAAAGAGAAATTTGAATTCATTTTAGAGGAAAGAAAAATCTTAACAGAAAGTGTGGCATACTTTCAGGCATCCTGTTGAATTAAATTTTCTCTTTTTGCTGCATACGTTTTGGGTGAACTGTAAATTCTGTAACATTTCTACAGTTTGACAACCTCCTGTTAAGTAGCAGTCCATAAATTAAAAATAAATTTAATTTATAAAATTGCTTCTATTTTTTTTAAATTTCTTAATTTTCAGTTTTCTTGGGTTTTTGTTATTAAATTGAAAAAACATTTTAAATCATTTTAAAGGACAGAACCCTTTATAATTTTTAAGTGTGGCATACTTTCAGGCTTCCTATAGATTTTCATTTTATCTTTTTGCTGCATACGTTTTGGATGAACTGTAAATGCCATAACATTGTTACAGTTTGACTTCCTCCTGTTAAGTAACAGTCCTTACATTATTAGTTCACTTTTTTCACAAAATTTATTAAAAATCTTACAATTTTGTGCAAATTTAACATATTTAACACTTTTCTAGTTATTTTCTTAAATTTCCCTAAGCATAACCTGCAGTTTGAATTGCATTTAAAACGCAGCCTTTGATGAAACGACAACCAAAGGCTCTAAAAAGACTGTTTACATATAAAAGAAGGACATATTTTACTTATTACCGAAACAATAATATACTGTATAAACCTAAACTAGTTGGTAAAGCTTTCTAAACTATATATCTTGATGATGATGAAAACCAAGCAAGAAGCGAAAAACTAATCTCAGATAGAAAAGAAAAAAAAACAAAAAAACACCCATTAGGTATATCGAGTGAACCATTTTAGCGGGGCGCCCCTTTGTCAATGAAGTTCCCGCAATATATAGAAAACACTTCCTAGGTTGTATCAAAAGTGTAAATAGCAGAAGGGGATCCCCAAAACGTTTCCCCCTGCCAAGTAATCAGTAAACTAACTAATTAACACCCCCCATTTCCCTCCCCCCACCCACAGCGATGTGTGAGCGAAGAAGAAGAAGTGAAAAAAATGTTAAATTTTCTTATATGAGCACAATGCAATGTATCCTATAAATCGTAGTCTATACATACAATACATATTCGTACGTAGAGTACATATATATATAGCTTAGAATCGAACAAATTCCCATATATGCTTATATATTGATAAGAGCCAACAACCCCCCAACCCTCCCTCCCTCCATCCCTACCCTAACAACGAGTAGCAACTTAAATGGTTAAAAACTTAGATCCTAGATTAACTTCTTCAGCCATCAGCCATCAGAATATGATATGCAATTATTGCTTTAGATCAAGTTCAAGTCGTTGTGATTTTTGGAAAAACATGAAAGTACAGCCTAACAAAATCTAGGTCTCTCTCTGAACAATATAGTTATATAGAAGATATGGGTTATGGCAATCCAAAAACCAAATCCAGATAAATTATAATGCAGTAGCACAATCATCAAGCGAGTGACAAAAATAAAACGAACAGCAGCTTAACAAGGACTAATCCTGAAATAATTCAACTAGATAATATCAAGCTATGATTTCAGTTTCCCATTTAATAAACTTCTTGATTTTCCCCACAATGGTTTCCATTTCCTTACTTTTCTAATTTGAATCTTACATATCAACGATCGTATTTATGTAATATAGCACACCTGGTTTCTAATACTATCAATATCAGTACAAAACAAAAAACAAAAAAAAAACTATATTAAAAAAACAAACTTTTATCCTAAACTTAAACCTCTTCCAAGCAAAACCAACTTTTTCTTCATCGCAACTTGTACATACGGGACGACGTCAATAAGAAACTTTTGCTGTAGATCTTCCAAAACAAAAAAAAATCTAATAAAAATAATTGTAAAATGTTAAAGAATCTATTAAAAAATTACTATGTTAGGCATCAAATTCATTAAATTAGTTTTGTATTTGTGTGTAAATAATTGTTTTCCTGTTAAGTTACTAAGAACTACTTTTTTGGACATCATATCAAGCCAAGATCTTTCGTATACCAAAAAAAACTATATCATTTTCTACAACTGCTTAGATTTTTGATATGAACTATGACCTAGGATTGTTTAATTTTAATGCAAAGTGAAAGGAAAACCCATATAAAAAAAAATGAGCGATTTAATCGAATTTATAATGTTTAATGGCAGTTAATCGAAGAGTAAAGTCCCAGTGGGAGAAAACCCAAAACATCAATATAAATATATCAATTAAATTAACGAAATGATTAGCAATTAATTATGCCCCCCAAAACTAGCTAGTTTATACATTTTTTGTAAAACCAATTAAACAATTAGTTCCACATTTTTCTATAAGCAGATATGGATAATAATTAAAAGAACGAAAAAGATAACTTGAAAATCAAATCAAACTATGAAATATAAAAAAGCGATAGTTTTTCTTTTTAACAGGGGAAATATGGTTTGGGAAATGTAAAGAGAAAACTTTGGGGCTTACTGGTGTGGGGCTTACTGGTGTGGCCTTGAAAGCTGATTGGTAATCAGAAGAGGTAGCAACAAATCAAAGTTATCTTTTCTAGAAAGTTTGATTAACTAAGTTATTGATTTATTACAGAAAAGGCTTTCTGCTTTTTATATTTATAGTTAAGTTTCATGATTTTCGACCTTTAGACTTTCAAGTTTTTAAGTTTTACATTTAGAAAATGTATATACTCTTTTTTTTCCAGTGTCCTGAAACACTTTCTCTGCTTTATTCCCCCACAAAGACAGCCATCTCATGAGAAGGCGTAAATCTGCATCAAATTAAATATGCGCGCGTGTGGGCTCCACTGAGAGAAAAAAAGGAAGAGCGAGCAGTAAGGGGGAGCCAGCAAGAAGGGGGAGCCAGCCAAAAGGGGTAGCCAGCAAAAAGGGGAAGCCAGCAGAAAGGGGAAGCCAGCCAAAAGGGGCAGCAAGACAGAAGGGGCTGAATTTGCTTTAGCGCTTGTGCATGCAGTTAATGTGCTTATTTTAAAATTTAAATTGGCTTGCGCAGTGCGCACTCGAGTAGGAAGAACTCCACAAAAGTGGAGGCTCATGAAGGAGGTGGAGAAGGCCAGGATGTGTGTTCGTTTTAATAGAAAGTTTGCACTTCGCTTTCTTCTTTTACTTGGGGTTTTGCATAAGGCTCATGGTGTAATTAACAGTCACTTGCAGGGGCAGAAAGTGTCTAGTGATAGCTACACATGCACTTACATACAGTATATATATACCATATGCCTGCATAGCCTGCATTAAGATAAACAACTTAATTATTTTCTCAGAGCCAAACGAGCTGCACTTTTGCTGCGGCAGAAAAAGGGAAAGCTCTCAGTCAAGAAGGTATGTGGGCTGTTGATGAAGGCTACAAGGCTTCAGAGAGGTAATTAAATACCTTACAGATTGCTTGGAGATTTTATAACGAGAGCTCAATCAAACTACTCAAGAGATGAAGAAGAAGTAAGTTAGAATAATATCAATTTTAGTTCAAGTCTTTTGTTAGGCTCACACACGTGTCGGTGATTGGCCCACACAAAAGACATAAATAGCTAAATTATTTGGAATCTAGGCAAGTGCCATGATGTGCCAAACAAGGTTCAAGTTCACCTTCAAACTTTGGATAAAAACTGACCTAGCCAACTTCCAAGCTTTTTCATAAGCACTCTAACAAAGCTTCTCATAAAAATCTATCCTAAAAATCCCATTAATTTAACTTATAACTCTTAATTAAAAAGAATTAAGCAAATGACTTAACGACACAAGTTTTCATGTTTAATTCTAAATCATAAAAGTTGAAAGCTAAAGTTGAAAAGTTAAATGGAAAATATATAAAAACTAATGAATGGCAATTTTATTATTTGTCTTTCTGAAAAACATTCCCACTACTGGCACTGCACTATTGAGTGCAAAGGCAATTAGCTCGGTCTCCTGGAAGCCTCAACTCCATTTTGTGTTAATCAAAAGTTTTACTGTACTCTTTCTCTCTCTCTCTTTCTCTCAGTTGTATCCCCAAAAGCCCCGCGCACCTCAGCTCTTTCTGGCAGGAAACTCCAAAAGTTATACACCGGCTGTGAGGCGAGCGTTTTGTCATTCATTACAAATTTTCACACATGGCCCAATTAAATTATTTAGCCCCCCTTCGCCACCCCTATACACACACGATCTCACCCCGGAATAGTTTTAATTAAATAATAGATACAAGGCTCTTATACCTCTACCTCTAGTTGTGGGCGTGGCATTATTCTGTCTTCTTTTTTTCTTCATTTGCTAGTCAACTTTTGGCAGTTGGAAAAGTTTTCGAGAATAAAACGACTCCCGAGACAAAAGCCTATGGCCGAGTTACGTTGAATGTGTGTCAACTGTACCCGAAAAGTGTTCGACATACGCCTAGTGCTTGCTCTCTCTCTCTCTCTTTCGCTCACAACTATCTCTGACTCTTTCTTGGTGGGAAGCTTGTAAGGCATTTAAAATTAATGTGCTTTGGAGGCGTTTGAGGGCTTACAAGACAAGTCGAGGACATGCAGCCGTTAACATAATCGTTGGAGCTTAAAACACACATCTTGCCACCCTACAACTACATGGCGCTTTTCAACACTGTTCGAAGAAGTTGGAAGTTGACAGGAGCATGAACGTGAATTTTTCATTCATAAGCTAAAGATTTTCTTGGAATAACTTGCAGAGGGTTTCTTAAAAGAACATCTTTCTGAAATAGTCTTTAAAGTTTAACAATCATTGTTGAAAAATGTAATAAAAAGGTGAAGATCAACACTCCAATGTTACATAACTAAGTTTAACAGCCTACAAACTACTCATGACTTGAAGTGACATAAAGTTAAGAGTTTCCTTTAAGAATTCCATTTCATTCAAGATTTTTTCTTGGGAAAAACCTAACAAAGACCTGAAAAGAGAACAAACGGCATTGTCCTACGAATTGTTTGCTAAACACTTGAAGTGTTTTATGACTTAGAGGTCTTATCGCTTATCTATCTGACCATAAGATATCGCTGGCACATGCTAGGCAATTATCGTTTGTGGGGGTTACTAGTAATTGCGTCCCACAGTAGCCGCAAACTACTTTAGACTTTAAGCTACTTTCACAACCATGTGATATAGTGATAGTATAAAAATAAAATAAAATGTGAATCAGAGTTTTATATAGCCTGGAAAAGGTATTAAGAATGTTTTACATAGAGGGTTAATCATCTTTCATTTATCGTGATAATGCACTCATTAGATAGCAATCAATTGATTACCGAATTATGTCCATCAATTGCTTTTTGACCAACCGTAAACTAGTGTCCATGATGGTTTCAGTTCTTCAGCCGAAGTCCAGTCAAAAGCAACCCATTATTCGCCACAATGTCTTCGAGGACATATGCCTTGGTCCTGCTCTGCCTTTTGGTCTTTTTTCAAGGAAGTATCGCAGATAAGGTAGCGGACACTATCCAGGCAGCGGACACTCCCCAGGCAGCGGACACTACCCAGGCAGCGGACACTCCCCAGGCAGCGGACACTACCCGGGTAGCGGACACTACCCAGGCAGCGGACACTACCCAGCCAGCGGACACTACCCAGCCAGCGGACACTACCCAGCCAGCGGACAGTACCCAGGCAGCGGACACTACCCAGGCAGGGGAAACTACCCAATCAGCGGACACTACCCAGGCAGGGGAAACACCCAATCAGCGGACACTACCCAATCAGCGGACACTACCCAAGCAGCGGACACTACCCAGGCAGCGGACACTACCCAGGCAGCGGAAACTACCCAGGCAGCGGAATCTACCAAGCCGGCGGAAACTTGTAAGAGTATTACCGGAACTGCTGTCAACCTTACACTAGTGGGAGAACTATAAAACGTTAGATGTATACAAATATTAATCCAAAATATTTCTTTAGTTTTCTGGAATTTGGTGGGAGGTGGCTCGTCAGCCGGCAGGTTCTGACTTCTGTACTGAGGTGAACATAACAGTGCTGTCAAATAAAACGGAGAATACTGTCCAGATCGATACTACGTATGCCGAGTCACCTGATTACCCATGGGTGAATCAAACCATGTATGCCAACCTCACCGTGGATGACGATACTGACTTCTCATATGGCCTAAACTTCTCATATTGGAATTCTCCCAACGACACTTCCTTAACAACGTACAAAATCGTTAATATTAGCTACGACAGCTATGCCTTGATCTGTGGCTATAAAAATCAGACAGATAGTGCCACGTCTTTTGCCATTCTCCTGTCTAGAGATCGTGTTCTTACAACTGATAAACTTGATGAGTTGGAGAGCAACGCTCCCAATATTTCTATCTTTAAAACCATGTCAGCGATTACTCAGGGAGAGACGTAAGTTAAGAATAGAATGTAATTATAGCAGTGAATTTTATATTTTAATTAATATTATTAATACAAAAAGGATATATTATCATAAATATATATATCTTAAAGTTAGACAATTTAATTTCAATATCATGCCTATCTATCTATCTTAAAGTTTTATTCTTTCCAGCTGCTATGCCCCATCAGGAGCCAGCTCTTCTGCCATTATCTCCATGTTGCTGATTGCCTTGGCCTTTGTTCTTGGAGTTTGTTCTGGCCGTCAATCAATTTAGTCAGCAACGAAGAAAACAAACGATTTCACCTATTAACCAGATACGTATCCTATTAACCAAATACGTATCCTATTAACCAGATACGTATCTTAACTTAAATTTTAATGTGTGTTGTGTACACTTTCAATATGTTTTAAAGTGTATATAACACAAATTAAAATTTAAGTTAAGATACGTATACATATATAAATTAAACAAAAAAAAAACTTCAAATTCATGTATTAACAAATATTTAAACCTTTTCTAAGTTTGCGTAAGCATATTCTAATACGTAATACTTCGAAATTCCCTATAACCAATTATTAAAAATGTTCTTTTTAGCACAATTACTAATTCTTTTAATGTTTCATCTGTTTAACTTTACACAGTCTTGTTCTCCCCCTTAATCGTACAGTAAAATAGCCACGTCGATTAAGCCATATCCATCCGCCTGTCTGTCTCTCCGTATGAAAGCGGAGATCTCAGAATCTACAAGAGATACTATGTTAAGCAGATTCTTGAGGTCCTTATGCAGCGCTAGTTTATTAAAGCATCCTACCACGCCCACTCTAAAGCCCATGAATCAGGAAAAACTAAAAGCGCTTATATCCCGGGAACTATAAGAGTTAGAAACTTAGGCTTAGGCATGCGTGTTTCAGAGATGCCAGCAGCTTGAGGTGATTTTTCATTCGGCCAAGACCACTCTAACTCACACAAGCCGAGTTCGTTTGACCTTTTACAACATCTTTTGTCAATATCTATCGATTTACCAAAGATTTTACAAATCGGAACCCTCACATGGGCAGTGACATCACCAAAAGTTAGTAAACATGACAAAAGGTGGCGCTTTTTTTGAATACTTTTAAACTGGATAAGACAGTAATGGGTATCTCATAGTCCCGGCACTGGACTGTATCATTTTTTCTGGTTTTTATCTTTTATGTATCGTGATCACGCACTCATTAGATAGCAATTGATTGATTACCCACTCATGTCCGACAGTTGCTTGATGACCAACCGTAAGCATATGCCCATGGTTTCATTTCTCTATCCGAAGTCGAGTCAAAAGCAACCCACTACTCGCCACAATGTCTTCGAGGACATATGCCTTGGGCCTCCTCTGCCTTTTGGCCTTCTTTCAAGGAATTACCGAAAATGAAGCCCAGGCAGTGGAAATTTGTAATAGTATTAACGGAGTCACTGTCAACCTTACACAAGTGGGAGAACTATAAAACGTTTAGATTTATCCAAAGATTAATCCAAAATCTTACTTTAGTTCTCTGGAATTTGGTGGGAGGTGGCTCGTCAGCCGGCAGGTACTGACTTCTGCACTGAGGTGAACATTACAGTGCTGTCAAATAAAACGGAGGATAATGTTCTGATCGATACCACATATGCCGTGTCACCTGATTACCCTTGGGTGAATCAAACCATGAATGCCACCCTCACCGTGGATGACGATACTGACTTCTCTTCTGGCTTCAACTTCACCTACTGGAATCCACCCGGCTACACTCCTTATACAGTGTACAAAGTCCTTCAAACTGACTACGACAACTATGCCTTCATTTGTGGCTATACAAATCAGACAGATAGTGCAACGTCCTTTGGCATTATCCTGACTAGGGATCGTGTTCTCACAACCGATGTCCTTGACAAGTTGGAGAGCAATGCTACTGGTATATCCTCAAACTTTTTGAACGGCACCATGTCAACGATAACTCAGGGAGAAACGTAAGTTGAAACAAGAACGTGACTATAGCAGCAAATTTGACCTATTTATTAATATTATTAATAAAGAATATATTATATTTTCATAAGAAAACTTCATTTTCCTATCATGTCCGATCTATCTTATAGTTTTGTTCTTTCCAGTTGCTATGCCCCATCAGGAGCCAGCTCTCCTGCCATTATTTCCATGTTGCTGATTGCCTTGGCCTTTGTTCTTGGAGTTTGTGCTGACCGTCAGTCAATTTAGTCAGCAACGAAGATAGCCAACGATTTGGTTCGCCTATAAACCAGATACGTATCTTAACTTAAATTTTCATTTGCGTTAACAAAAAACAACTTTAAATTCATGTCTAAACAAATATTTAAACCTTTCCTAAACTTACGTAAGCAAAAAGTAATACGTAAGACTTCGAAATTCCAGATTGGTAATTATTAAAAATGTTTTTTTATCACAATTCCGAGTTTTTGCAATGTTTAATCTGTTTTTCATGCATGCTTGCATGCTTGTTTTTGTTTTCATTAATGACTCACTGTCTGGCACTGAACTGATAAAGCAATTTAATCCAGAAACGAAGACGTTTCCTCTCTATATATATGTATATTTTGTACGACTTGATGGATGATCACTAAAAGGTTTAGATATAACGCAGAGTGGAAGACGACTTCAATTAATTTAATACTTGTTTATGGTATCTGCGAGTAACGATAACAGAACTTACCTTGTTTATGGCACTGCCGAGTGTAAGGAATGACTAATGGGAAATAGCACAACAACAACACTCAGACGGGAAGAGAACTCTGATAAAACTTAAAGGGGAGAGATATTAAGAGAGAGAGATATTAAGAGAGAGAGATATTAAAAAATACGCAGAATTTTCCTATGTAAAACTCAATCTAACCGCAGAAATATGAATAATTCAATGAATGAGACAGTAAACAGAAATAATTATTAATCAAATTAAAAGAATTTATAATTTTTATAGGCAAAAAAACCCAGTCAGTAAAAATAGCAAACAAAATCAAAACATTTCTTTAAACTAATTAAATCATAAATGACGATGATAGAGTTTGGGGTTCACTAACGATAAGAGTTCTCTGGCCAAAAGTAACTATTTCTGGCCAAGACAGTCATTTCCTTTTAGACCAAGCCATCAAGCCTTGCAGTTAAGATAATCAATCTATTGAACAATCTGCATTGAGGTTCTACAGGTTGAGTAGCAAGTAGTAAGTACAACAATGATTTCTAGAGCCCCCAGAGGATTACTCATACACAGGGCAACGATAACAGACGTCAGATGTACGTAAATGGGTGACAGTGGCGAGGCGCCTCCACCAGTGCCTCCGCGGGCATCGATAATGGGTCTGCGAAAACACGGGAAAAAGATACACGCCTATAAAAGCCAGCTGCGGATGGGTATTCAGTTCAGTAGTACGAAGCACTCGAAGCGAACCGACCGCAGAACCGGATCATTATATATATCGATACTAGTTAGTAATTACTAAACCACAGAAAAAGTGACATCATGTGCAAAAGTGTGATTATTAGCCTGGCCATCGTGGCCTGTTTCTCTATGGCGATGGCTCAAAATGCACAATCTTGTGCCAGCGCCACCAGCAAAGACTTCAACAATACCGATGTGAGTGAGAAAACTAAGTTTATCTTTTTAAAATAGTCAAAAAAACTGGAAAAAATGTTAAAATGTTAATAACTAAAGTCTCCGTAAAAGGTTGACTGCCTTTTTTCTATATATTATGATCAGTTTTAAAGCTCAGTTTAACGATATTAAGAAAAAAGTTAAAAGAATGGATAAGAACTTTCGAATTTCTTTCATAAATATACATTAAAGTGCTTTGAGAAAAAGCTTTTGCCTTACAAAATATAAAACCAGTTAATAAAAATCTCTTTTTCAAACTTCCAGTTCAGCGGCCTATGGTACGAGTTGGCCCGCAATCCCGCTTCGAATGTCTCCTGCACCAAAGTTAACATTGCCTACTGGGGAAATGCCAACAACGGCACCAATATGCTGGTCGATGTCAGCCATGCGAGCAATAATGTCTCCACCTTAATAGATGTCTTTGAGAAAGCAAATGTAACCCTGGTAACGGGTCAGACCACCGGCTACAATGTAACCTTTACGAATGGTCAAAGCCAGGATTATGTCTTTATCAAGATCCTCGATCTGGTGAACTCAACCTACTTGTTGGGATGCAGTTACACGGATGCAAACAATGCGTCGACCAGTGCCGCGTTTATTTTGGGCAGATCTAACTACACCCTGGATGGAGTTAAAATTGCCAACAATGATGCCTCCACGAAGTTCAGTAACTTCCAGAACAACACTTACGGCAATGTGACGCAGTTGGGGTAAGCTCAAAGCCTCTAAATGATCTATTGAAAAACTTACTAACTAGAATCCTTGAAAACCGTTTAGTTGCCGTGCCAACTCTGCTGGAAAGATGACGCCACTGACCCTGATTTCTGCCTTCCTGGCCATCGCCCTGCTGCTGATCAAGGCTTAATAAAAAGGAGATCTCTAATGCCAATAGCTTTGCCTCAGCCAACAACATAAAAATATGAAAAAAAAACCAAAAACCAAAACTAAGTTATTGCGTCATTCTCTTTATTTAGTTTTTAGTTGACTTTTAAACTCCCAGTCGCCGAGCTCAGAAAGTGAGCCAAGGCAAAATGATGTCAATAATAAAAAGTAAAGGCCGCCCCATAAAGAAAAGCCCCAACAAACTTTCGATAAAGGTGTGTAGAGACAATTTATCAGGTGTCTCAATAGTCTGCTGCAATCAGTGCTTTAATTTGCTGGCAACTTGTTCGGCGGTATGCGTGATAAGATAAACGTAAGCGATAACAAAATATACGATTCTGTGCCACCAACCAACCAAAACCAAATCACACACAAACATTGAGTGATTTTCTATTTCTGGTTTTTTCCTCCCATAATTTTTGTCTTTTTCTCTACTAATCTCTAACAAGCGCAACTCATAAATCAATCAATGACCGCGTGTTCACAGGCACAAAATATATATTTGATACGTTTTGCTTCTGATTAATTGATTGACAAATCACTTCACTTCACTTCACCGTTTCAGCATTTGTAGGTGGCTAATTAGTATGGTTTAAGAGCAATTCTGTTATCGCTTATCGGTTAGCTTTTATCTATCGATTTCATGGCCCTAATGATGTATATTATGCGATTGAGGTAGGCAGGGGCTAATGATTGCCTTAGAGAGCTGTTACATTTTTGGTTTTGTTTACAAGGGAAAAACTTTGATATTAAATACAAACACATGCCTGATAATGTCTTCATATATCAAAGTCTCAGGCAGTAAGATCTGACAGATACTATAAATGACTTTAAATTTAAGAGTAAACAAAAGTATTTGCACGTTCAATTATTATCTAGAAGCAAGTATAAAAACATAAAAAACAACGCATTTAATATTGATAAGATGCGAAAGGAACTGAAACCTTATTGATAAGTAAGTTTATGGCCTTCTCAAAAGATAAATAATGTATTACATCACTTTCTTGTCAGTTGAGGTAACTTAATAGGATATTATTATCGGAAGTTATAGCAGCACTACATAGTTTTTAGATATATAGGGTGGCCCACGAAAGATTTGCGTTATTAAAATATTATTTCCCAATTTCCTTCGAGCCTAAACTTAACCATTTCGTAAACCGCAAACCTTCTACTAAATATCTGACAAATTGACAATGATATTCGAAATTTCAAAGTCAAAATAGCGATAGATCAAAAAGCAAACGGTACATGGGCCAGTAGTAGTAACAGTAGTAGTAACAGTAGTAGTAACAGTAGTAGTAACAGTAGTAGTAACAGTAGTAGTAAAAGTAGTAGTAAATAATAGTAAAAGTAGTAGTAAAAGTAGTAGTAACAATAGTAGTAAAAGTAGTAGTAACAGTATTAGTAACAGTAGTAGTAACAGTTGTAGTAACAGTAGTAGTAACAGTAGTAGTAACAGTAGTAGTAAAAGTAGTAGTAACAGTAGTAGTAACAGAAGTAGTAACAGTAGTAGTAACAGTAGTAGTAACAGTAGTAGTAGTGAATATGAAAACTAAAGTACTGCCATGAAAGTACTTCTTCACACATCACACCCAAACAATTTCCACTCAAACTTACTACTCCCCTTTCCATACACACCACTTGGTCAAATGTCACAAAACTTGTCAGCTGCACTACAAAAAATAACACACAGCAGACAACACTTAATTGTCAAAAAAAAAGCAGAAGAAGGGAAAACCAGTTAGAACAGGCGCAAAGAAGACAACTCAGTTAAATCAGAAAACACTCGATTCAGTGATTTGTTTACCACCACCAACATCGAGAGAGATGCCGAAAAGAAAACACTTAAAGTCCCTGGCCAAGTCTCAAATCAGATACAAAATCCTGCGGAGCTTCTGGCTCTTACACACACACTTATCGAGCTTCGGGCTGGCTGTTGCTGATTTCTTGTTTATTTATTCAGCTTCAACCCAATCAGCCCACCCACACACACACACACACGTCTCGATCCTGATGCAAACAAACCCACACGAATGTAAACACAAGGCCACTAAATCACTGAACACTCTCAGCTTTGGCATTTACACCACCACCACCCACACACCCACCATCTCCATTGAACTTCATCGGACCCATTCGAAGAACCCGACTCGTAGTAGCTAGCTTCTCCTGCCCCTGATCCTGCGACTTCTTTTGTTGCCACGCTTGACCCGCGGCTGCTCCTGTCCTTGTCCCTCTCTTCCTAAGAGGGTTTGTTTATGTTTATTTGTTGGCACAATTTGGTTACATTGTTTGCTTACAATCTACTCATTGTTTGCAGGGTTCGTTGTTGTTCTTGAAATCAAGTTTACATCGATTAAGTAGCAGTAAAATCTGTTGCCAACAAAAACATAGCTAACCCCCAAAAAGAAAAAGGACCAAATTTGTATAAAAGTTTATCAAAATTTAACCACCTGCATAAATTACAAGCCTTGAAGGATTATAACTTTTTGTAATAGAAAAGATATCTTCTAAGTAAAACTACTAGCAAGAAATATATCTAATAAATACCAAGACATTTCCTTACTTAACCAACCTAAAATATCTCTGAATAAAGCATGGCATTCTTACACCTAAACCAGCAAAGGTATTCATGACATTCTCCAGCAAACAACTAGACAATAATTATACACTCTCAAGTAGCTAATCATCCAAGAAGCCGAACTCAAGCTCAGGACCAAAGACCAGACCGGAGCCCAAAGTCAACCGCAACAAAGTCCAGGGCCAGAGCCCTTCATCTCTCTCTCTTGGTCAAATGCCAGACAAACAAAGGACGCCTCCAATCAATGCTAATAGCAATCGTCCTGCAATATCCTCAAAGTGCTTAGAAAACCGAAAGCCAACAACCACAGTGGGTTGGGCTGGGCTGATTGAAGGAGTGAAGAAGGCGGGTGCGAAGGGGTGGTAGAAATCCTGAAGCAGACAAAACTATTAATTAATTTCCCAGTCACTGCAGGCCATCGACTTTGGAAACATAAGAACCACATGCCGTTGACATATTAGTCAATACAGTTCTTGCAACTGATTCTAGTCTTGGCCAAGGTGAGTTTAATTTTTATGCTAAGTTTTAGGGTAAAGAGAGAGGAAAATTTGCTTACTTTAACTTATTTTGGGCCCTTCAAACTTCACACACATGTAAATATATAATTGCTAGATGGGTAAGATGGGTAGACTGAGTAGCTTGCTGTTATCATATAAATTGAAATCTTAGCCAAGTTTGTGGCACTCAAGACTCAAGCATTGCTCAGTGGCAATCGTCACTCAAGTGTTGCTGTTCCTAAGCTACTCAGAAACACTCAGAGAAAGTGATTTGGTTTCCCTTTTATAAAACTGACTAAAAAAAAACTACCAAACTAGATAATGATTAGTAATAGAATTTTATCTGCGATTGAATCATTTTTATAACAATTTTTTTATAGAAAACCCATAAAAATTTCTCTCACTGCCTCATCTTCTCAACGAAACCTTAATTTATGCTGATCTCTGGCCTTTCGCCTAAGCGTTTTCACATTTGCATAGATTTGGCAAAACTTGGCAACAAAAACATGATTTGATTTCCACCAGGAGCCAGCTGATAATACTTCTCAATATATATGTTTGTTTATGTGATGCCACAGGTGGGGGTAATTGAATGGAGGTCCTCAGTCATTTACATTCAATTAACAGTTGTAGACCAGAGCGAATTGGCATCTATGAGATACTTGTATGTCTGGGCATTAATACCCAAACACCCATAAATATTCATGGACAACAGCAGGGACGTGGCACCGAGAAGGGGTTTTATTGACCATAAAAGATGGAAGTTAAGGAAATAGGTTAGCTAACTCTGCCTTGTAATAAACTCATATCTCTTATCTATTTTTAACTGATTTCTAGTAAAGTCTACAGTCTGATAAGTTTCTATAGTAAAATGATAAACAAAAATTCCCCCATAAATATAAATAAATATTTGTCAATAGTCAAATACATCAATATTGATTCACTTAAGCACACCCATTAATCATAAATTATAAAGCTTACTAAATAGGCTTTTTCCTCTTTCGAACGCCGCCCATGGGCAATTCACATTGCAGGCCTAATTTATGCCACATGAACTTAGGCCTTTGTGTAATGGAACTGTGTTTTGTCTTTAGTTGACTTTGGGCTAATGCATACTAAGATAATTACTGTTCCAGAGAAAGTGTCTTACGGAATACATATTCATCAGTCTTTGATGACAACTGATGAAGAGGCAGAGCTAGAATTTAAGTTGAGGAAATGTTATTTGTAATAATGAAAATTTTACTCAAGATTTCTTCTATCTAAATATTTAAGTTTAGGCTAGAAAAAAAGGACCTTTTTCTTCTTAATTTAACTTCTTGCTAACATTTCCCCCTCTCTCAACTTTTCCAATCACACTTCGTTTTCCTAAACTGCGAACGTGTGAATACCCTTTTGACAGCTCGTCACATCTGCAATTAAAGCAATTAATTAAGGTTGGTTTTAGCTCAAACTCCGCCGCCACCACCCACCCACCATCAAGCCGCAAAACTCGAACTGTAAAAGAAAACGATAACCCGAGCTTTGAGAGAGCATACACCTTCTTCAGCCCATCCCAAAAGCATTATTTTAAATGCCAATTACATTCGGAGAAGCAAGAGCAAGAGCAGCAGCAATGGGTGGCGCAAATTGCTGCAAATCCATGGCGAATGAATGGCCACCTTTCTGCCCCTTGCCCTTACCTCGCCGATGTCGATTTGCTGTTAGCATTCCGTCTCTATGTGAGTAGGAGGCTTGTGTGTGTGTGTGTTGGCAGAGGCATTATTCGTAACGAGCGACATGATCATAAAAATAAACGCAAAATATAACACAAAACGCAAACACAATAATGGCCTGGGAGTGCCTTAGTTTTTATTTTTACACCTGTTTACAAAACAAAGCAACGGCAACACCAGAAATACAACAACCAAAAGCGAACGAAGGACGAACAAATTTGACTGCGCCAGCACGCACACAATTAAATTTCCGGTACAACACCTACATACATGGGAATCCCTCGAAAAACCCAGACCAAAACCCTCGAAGCCCCCCTTAAAATACACTTTGATTTCCGTGCTAGAACTTTCTCTGTGTGAGTGAGTAGGTGTGTGTGAGTGTAAGTGTGTGTGTCAGTGTGTGTGCAGCGTGTTTGAGCCATTAAAATTACGCCTAACGGAGTTGCAAACGCACCGAAACCTGCACAGACAAATGCACTGAAAAAAAACTATACAAAAAGTCAAAGCTTTTCAGAAAATTAAAATTTTTCCAAAAAAATTTCCATGAAAAGGGAAAGCTCATCAAAAATTGAATTAAATTTTCTTTTAAATTTTTAAATTTTAAAAAAATTTCAAATCATATCTTCGTTTTTTTTCGCTCCACAAATAGGAGAAGTAAAAATGTGCCAGGCTTACGCGGCGTATGAGTATTTTTCTGACTCACTCTAACTGCTCCTCTAACACGTTTCATTTGAAATCCATGGCACGTTTGCCACCAACAACAGCGCCATCTCTCCACCGGAGACACGGAGCAATTTTCAATATTCCCAACGCCCGACCAACCGATGGTAGGCGTGGCAGGTGGCGGATATAATGCGGCGGCGGCGACGACGACAATGCCTGAGTTCCTGTCAAAATTGGCAAAAATCGACGAGGCCTCCGCTCGAGCGCGCGAACTTAACTAAAAATCAAAGGCATCTTTGCCCACTTCGATTCCTTAGAGGGCAGCGCGTGTGTGTGTGTGGGCCATAATATTTATGCACCCAAACACCCAAAACATACGCAACAGCAAGCGCTAGCACTCCTGCAAACTTAGGCACACTCCAACGCACACGTTGCGTATACGTAATATTTGCTTGGGATTATTACAGGCTGGCACTTGAGACGCGCACACGTCGCACACGCTCAGGCCCCAATAAAAATTTATATATGTTTATGTATGTGCCTGCACTTAATAATAAAATTTCGTTTAATTTCGAGTTTTGAATTTCATTTTTATGATTCCTTTCGCTTTCATTTATTTTGTTTTTTTCCTTGCCTTTTCTTATTTATTTTTGCTGCCAGGTGTTGGCCGTAACGTGATAAAATTTTAATTATATTTGTTGGGGAGTAGATTGGATATTTATTTTGTTGCTACTCATTGTAATTTGATTTTTAATGTTGTTTTTTTTACGTTGCTTATCGGTGTAATTTGATATTAGAGAAATTCTTCGTTAGAGAGAAGTTTAAGTGGGTTTTGTGTTACGGAATTGGGTTGGGCTGATTGGGATTATGAATATGAAGAGATTTATTTATTAAACGACTAACAAAAAGACTGATATAGTTTAAGTTTCTTTTTCTGTTAAAGGGTTAAACTTTTCAGAAAAATGTAGACTTTAATCGTATATCCGTAAATCCTTTTTGAAATTTAATTAGAAATCATTCTATGACTCCTTTTCATCTTATTATGGATTTAGCAACTTAAAAGAAATACTTAAAAATTAATTACAAATTATTTCCTTCTCTTTAATTACCACCAACTTAAAGTCCAATCATAGCATTACAAACATTCATTCCAGGCTTATAAATTTCATTAAGGAAGCGGGAAAACCTTTTGACATTGATGTCGGCTTAGTCTTTGGTAGTCTAAGAGTCCCTACTCCACTGGACATACTAACTGTCTGGTCTGCGCTGTTTTCCGTCTGATGTTTGTTTATCTCCCTTTTGGCTTTTGCCTAATGGACGCCTGCCAACAGCTGGCAGGACACTTTGAGGAACTCAACATCTCGTCCTAGCTGCCACACAGCCAGTGGAAACATTGTATTCGAGTCAGGTGCGTTGTGAATTTTGCTGCAACAGTCATTATAATAATGCCACAACGAAGTGTGCTCGGAAATAATAATCAAGTTGGTCTTGGATGCCAAAGAGCCTGGGAAGGCATGAAGAAGGAAGAACCATGAAGGGGCAGCCACAGCTGCTGGCACTTGATGGTTTCGTGTAGGTAGAGTCCTAGTAGTAGCAGTAGACCGACGACCGAAGAGCCAAGGCACTTAAAATTTCATTTAAATATGGACTCCTCTATACTCGTTGAATGTGCAATCGTGCATTGTTGCATTTTCTACTGGCATGGTCGTGGCAAGTGCAATAATCGCCTCAAATAATAACTTTAAGTGCATAATTTTATAAAGTTCTCTCTCGCTGGTCGCTGGTAATAACTATTCATGCCGCTGAAAGTACGTGAGTACATTTGCCACTGGCGGCTTACCCCGAGAACCCAAGAACCCATTTAAAATGTGAGTCAAGGCAATGCATATTTATACCTTTCCTTTCCACTTAATTATATGCGTTTTTATGTGGCATAAAGCTATTACGTTTAATATTCAAATTAAGTTGAAATTTTGTTAGAATTCTACTCTCTGATACTTCATTATATAGGAAACTTTTTAATAGATCTAATAGGCATGGCATTACCTAACCAATCTCATCAAAGGCTAATCCCCATCTGTCTGTTGCCATAACATTCGATTTGTCCATCTCTGTTTCCAGTTACGGTTTTCGAGTTTTCCTTTAATTGATTTTGGTTGCAATTTCCGTGCTTGATTGAACTAGCAAAAGTCGAACGGCCCTCTGCCATAAATTCAAACAGCTTTTTACGCAGTTGTTATGCAAACGCATTTAGCGCTAATTGTTTGCATATCTATGGGGTATATCCTTTTTCTATCGTTTGCATAACAAATCGTAAGCACAAATGGCAAATGAGTGAGTGCAAAATGTTCGCTGGCAGACAATTTATTTAAATATTTTTGACACGCGCACTGGACAAATGGCGGGCGTTCTGATTAAAAACAGATTTGTTCAGATTGGTTTTATAATAACCTTGCCGCACAGACAATTGCCGTTGTCAGGCTGTAACAGTAACAGTAATCGGTTACAGGCTTTATTTTTTCTCCCCCCGTTTACCACAAACAGATGTTTGGTTTTCTCATTTATTACAGACATAACCTTTATGGCCGAGCAAAAACAACTAAATTTAACTAAAAGTAACTAAAATTAAATTGAAATTTATAAGGAAACGTAACCTTTTTTCTCGAATTTAATTTTTGCCTTTTGTGTCATAGAAAACTTATGACACGCAACAAATATGCGCAAAAGTTTAAAGTCAATCAAACTTTTTAATTTTCATTTACATTAAAATTATGTTGGCATTTATTTGCCATGCCATTTCGTTGTTGGTGGAAGCTCTTCTCGTCGTCGCTTTTTGATAAAAAAATAATTTGCATACAAAAATGTTTCTCACTTCGCTTTCCGGAAAAGTTTTGCCTTTTTTACAATTTGCATAACTCAACATCTAGACAAACAGCTGAAGTGGAGAGAGGCAGAGAGAGTGAAACCTAAGTGATAACATTAAAAGGGAAAGTCACGAAAAGCAAATATGAATCATACGCCATGTGTGGCAAATGCCACAAAACAAAATGAAACAAAAATGGGAAAAAACAAACTCCAGAAATAAATAATTATGTAGGGAAATTAAGGGAGAAGAGTTTGGGTGATCAAAATTAATGGGTTACCAAAGGGGAAATCTCTTTCTTAATGTAAATTTTTTATATTTTTATGTACGGACAGGTTGGCCCAGGTAGCATGAACTCCATTAGGAGTTACTTTGTTAATGATGATGTTTTTAACTATAACTATGCCCAAGCAAAATGCGCCACTGGCTATTACAAAGAGGCAGAGGAGCTGCTTATGCAGATCAGTTACATGGATATTAAGAATCAGCATACCTACTGCATGATCCTGGCCAAGTGTCACATTCACTGTGGTCATCCGGAGTTGGCTTGGAATGTTTTCATTACGAGAGATACCAATGCCGAGGCTTTTATTGTTTTGCAATTGATAGCCAATGAGTGTTATAAATGTACTGAGTTCTGGGTGGCAGCCAAGGCTTTTGATATGCTGGAAAAGTAAGTAGAACTACAAGGTGGCCCATGTAGCGTTTGCTTTTTAAACTATCCATAATTTTGACTTTGACATTTCAAATGCCATTGTTCATGTGTCAGATATTTAGCAGAAGGTTTGCGGTTTACATAATGGTTAAGTTTTTGCTTGAAGAAAAATTGGGAAATATTGATATTTTTATAGCGATTTCAAAAAGCAAATCTTCCGAGGGCCTTCGTATCCTGGTAAATATAAAACTTAAAACCCGAAGCGGAACTACTTTTAAAATCAGTCATAATTAAATTTAAGATATGTTAACACTATAAAATGTTAATTAATTAGTCTATACATTGTCTTAATCTTAATAATTTTATGGATTATCACTTTAAAGTGTAGCTTTAGGTGCTGTTTTTGATGTAGGTTATCTTAACTAAATCAGCAAATAAATAATTCACGTGCTAACATTTTCGCGATGTCGTCTATTGTTAAGGTTTTTAGCACTTTTTTCGAATAAATATTTGCTTAAATATTTGATATTTGTTTAAAATGTAACTAGAAGATTATCATAGACCTTATCATTGATATTTGATTTATTATTTTGTCTAAAAACTTTATTAGCTTTATTTTCTTCTTATCAATATTTACCATATTTCTATGCAAAAACCTAATCATCCTTTATATATATCCTTTATATATAGTCATTACACTCTTTCTTTAACCCCTTAAATAACATATTCTTCAAGTGTTAACAACCTCGCGACATCGTCAATTGTTACACCTCAAATCAGCAGACTTTTTGGCACATATTCCCGGCGTCTAATCAAGATATTATCCAATTAACAGCTTCGAGATAATTGAGATGGCGTCAAAGGCAATCCAAGCAGAGAATTGAACAATCAAACAAGGGAGGTTTGAACTAGATATATATTTTATTACACCCCAAAAAGAAAACACGCCTATCCCAGAGAGAGAGAGAGAGAGAGAACAGCAGCAGCAGCGATACTCAAGTCACAATGCCAATTGAGGCTCTGATGTGTAAAGTAAACAAGAGCCCAACGGGCAGAGAAAATCTAAGATCTCGAGATCATTATCAGTGGGATGAGCTTTACGGGCGCTATCATTCGACAGTTGCGATTTGTGGAGCACAGACGTGCGGCTGACTAAGTTATCTAAACTCAAAAATAACGATCAAATGTATCCGCAATTGGAAACTGAAGCTGAGGCCCTGGAAAACCCTACAGCTAGGGCTCTCTTGCCAGGTGCCATAAGCAAGCCGGCCAGTGAGGCTGGCAAAGCACCGAAGACAAGTAAATGGAAACGACGGCTACATCGACATATTCCGGTCTTTCAATGGTTACCACTCTACACCACCGAATGGGGAATCGATGACTTTATAGCCGGTGTTACCCTCGGACTTACGATCATCCCAGAGAGTATGGCCTGTGCCCTGTTAGCTGGTCTGCCGGCAAGATATGGCCTGTGTTCGGCTTTTATTGGTCCTCTGATCTATATGGTCTTTGGTTCTATCGACAAGGTCATCATTGGACCCACTAGCCTGGTGGCTCTGGTTAGTGTTCAGTTCACCGTTGGACGACCTATTGAATTTGCCTTCGTGCTTACCTTTCTCAGCGGAATTGTGCAGATTATTATGGGTACCATGAGGATGGGTGAGTAGCAGTAGAGAAACACTGTGAGAAAACTTCTTTAAATGAGATTAAGAATAAGTTAAGTAAGTTAGGTAAAAATCTCTCAATTTGAGCTTCAATTTTGTTTTTCTTGTTAAAAATCTATTAAATTTTCAAACATTTTTCTTCAAGTGCAAGACTTTTAAGTATCAGCTGGATTACGTGTGATCTCACTGCTAAATTGACTTAAGTGCGGCATGTGTTACTTCCCCCATGAACTTGGTCGCCGGTTGCAGTCTCAGTCCCAAAGCCAATTGAGTTGAAATAGATCCGCTTTTAAGCACCTAATTGAGTTTGCTGGCCGATAACTATTATGCGGTTTGTCCATGATTAGCATTATTTAGCTCCATTAACACCTCTTCGGGTGAGATTCAATGGTTGGCCTTTTGTATGCGGAACTAGAAGAGATCCGAGGAGTAATTGAGAGGATGGTTTGGTTAAAGCTAAGACAGGTTTTTATTTATTTTTAGATTTTAGGTTTTATTTTTAAAGGCAGTCAAAACTAGTAGAAAATTGTTAGTAAACTTGTTTTCTTTCTTTCTAAAGAAAATTTGTCTATCTTTTAGGTTTCATCTTCGAGTTCATATCCATGCCAGTGATCAAAGCCTTTTCCTCGGCCACTGCCATCCTGGTCATAGAATCTCAGCTTAAGGTACTGCTGGGCATTAAGTACTTAGTCGCAGGTCTCATAAATTCAGTGGGAATGCTAAGTTCACGAATTCATGAGTCCAACATGGCTGATCTTACGGTTGGAATATGTGCCATTGTTTTCTTACTTTTATTAGAGGTAAGTCTTAAGGTCTTTACTGAATTGCATTTCTAATGAAATATTCTTCTCCAGCTATTAGATCGCGTGGCTAGCAATGAAAAGCGTAGCAAACTTCTAAGGATAAGCTGCAGATACCTGTCAACCTCCAGGAATACCTTGATAGTACTAATAGCTGCCATTGTTTCCTATATTTGGATACAAAATAGTGGCCAAGTTCCTTATGCTCTTAGCAAGAATGCCTTGGCCAGTCTGCCCAATTTTACAGTGCCCAGTTTGGATATTGTTACTGCAGAGAGAAGCTACAGTTTTTGGGAGGTTTTAAAGGAACTTAATATTGGTATCATAGTCATTCCGATTGTGGGTATACTAACGAATATTTCCATTGGAAAATTAAGTGAGTGTTGAAGGGGATTAAGTGAGTATTATATATCTATTTAATATTTTCTGAATTTATAGCTCCTAAAGGCTTGGTTGATACGAATCAAGAGCTGCTCACTGTCGGCCTTTGCAACATGTTTGGTTCCTGCGTGCAGGCAATGCCTTCGTCAGGAGCGTTTACACGTTATGCCATTAGCACAGCCTGTGGCCTCAGGACTCCATTGGCCAATCTGTATTTGGGTGAGTAAAGCTACGAATGCCAAAAATCAATTTCATTACTGAGAGAAATAACGCCTTAAAAAGTGGAATTGATGAACTAAAATTGAAGATATGAGAAAATAGAAGGGAAAACAGACATCCTTTTTCCCATTTCTGATCTACATTTTCTCCCCGTGCAGGCATTATTGTACTCCTGGCCCTGAGCTACCTCAGTCCGTACTTCAACTACATTCCGGAAGCTACGCTGGCGGCCATCCTGATTTGCTCGATATTCACGCTGCTGGACTTCAAACTTCCAATAAGATTGTGGCGCGATTCGAAGCGCGACTTTGCCACCTGGCTGCTGTGCTTCTGCGTGTGCGTGCTTTTTGGGGTGGAGGTGGGCCTGTTTGTGAGCATTGTGGTGACCGCACTGCACCTGCTCTACCTGTGGGCACGTCCCGAGATCCGAGTAAAGATTGAGCAGCTAGAGGAGATGCAGTACATCCGAGTGACGCCGGGCAATGGCATCTACTTTCCGGCCATCAATTATCTGAGAGAACGAGTCCTGAAGGCCTGCACCCAGGCGGACTTTAAGATTACGGTCGTGATCGATGGCCAGCGAATTAATGGCATGGACTATACAGCTGCCCAGGGTATATCGAAGCTATCAAGTGATCTATGCCGTCAGGCAGATGCCTCTAGCTCAACCCTGCTGATCCTGTTCAGATTTCCCGAGCACTTGCAAAGGCTCGTTGATCACACGGATAACCTGGTGTTCTGTGAGAGTGAGAACAAGGTTAAGGAGTTCCTAACACAGGAATCCCTGCGCAATGGCTATATCAACCTGAAAGAGCACATAAGAGCCTCCATCGATTTGGGCTATAAAATCGACATCGATTAGGAGCACTCGCCGCCCCCTAGTTAGCTGCTTTATGTTATTTATTTAAGTTTAGTTTCGAGAAATTGTCGTTCGTCGCTGACTGCAAATGGAAATGGAAGTGAAGGAAAAGTGGAACAAATGCCTTGATGGCAGCAATTTATAAAATCCCCCCTCCAACCACACCCAACCCCAAACCCAAACCAAAACCCGAGAAGTGACCTCTGGAGGAGAATGGGGGGCAGAGGAATAGATGCGGTGCCGCTGGCGACGCCGTCAATGATTGCCAAGCTAATGGATTTCTGTTTACTTTTTCACTTAGAGCGGGCGCCAAGGAGGAGCAGGAGCAGCAGTAGAAGGAGCAGAAGGAGCCGGAGCAGCTGGAGCATAAGGAAAAAACAAGGTTTTGAAAAATAAAGCAAAAGAAATTAGAGAAAAGCGAAAGCGCACAGCTAACTTTTCTAACCAAAAAAAAGGAAACAAAAAAATAGAAAAAACAAGGTGCGCTAGAAAAAAAAAGGAGGAAAACACAGCTGAAAAGAAACTGCAAGAAATTAAACTAAAATCCTGGCGTAAAGTGGATCAAACGCAGTAAAAACAAGTCAGGGCATAAATTAAATTAGTCGAAAGCGAAAGGGGACTACTCTTTAGGGAATAAAAAACAAGTTTAAGTGGAAGAAGAACTAAAACTAAAACTTGAAATTAAATAAGAAATATTCCCAATATAAATTTTTAATATTTTATGTCGAATAAAAATATTAATTTAAAGATGACTCCAAAAAATGCTATGTTAAAAGTACAAATCGTTGCTTTTTTTTTTATTTATTTTAATTAATTTTTTATACTAATTTAGAGAGCTTAAAAAATAAAGCCCTAAAAAGTATGCTATATTAATGATTCTAAGTTAAATTATATAAAAAGACCTTTAACCTTATAAATACTATCAAATTAGTCAAATAACATAGGATTTACGATTAAAAATTAAAATAAAATCAAAGTAAAATATAAGATAAATCAATTTCAATCCTTAAATTGTAAAATAAGTTTAAAGAAGTCCCTTAAATCAATATAACTTATAGAGCATTAAAAGCAAAGCGATAAAAAGGACCCTAGAAAAGCGAGTTAATTACGTAAGGTTAAGAGGACGAGAAAGAGAAGGTCTTAGTGAATGCGAAAGAGAGAGCCAGAACAGTGGCTAGTTAGACAGAGCAACTAGGAAGGCTTCTAAGTAGATTTCCAGCACTTGAGGCGGTGTAAATGAAAGGCTGCGGTGCTTCCCCCCTGCAAAGAGCCAGCCGAGCATCTTAGCTGTTGTTGATTGCATTGGCAAACGAAGTGAGCAGATTTAATGAAATTTAAAACGCTGTCCGGAACTTGTCCAAATGGAAAAGAAGGGGCCAATGCGGTTGGCCAAATGCAGATTTGCAAAGGTGGCCAGTCCAGACCAGGCTCAAATCGAGGGCAATGCAAATTTCTAGCCAAACTGCTTTCCGACTGTTAATTATTTCAATGAAGGAGACGACCGACGACTCTGTTTGCCAAGCATTTCAGGGTTTTCCCTTTCTGCATTTTCTGCATTGTTAGGCTAATGAGAATTTCAGCTTTTGGGCATTGCAAGTAGAGCATAAGAAATTAGTTAGAATTATAATTAATATGCTAATCATCAGAGCAATTGATGGGGAAATCACTTAATGGCCAAAACCAATGACCATAACAGCGTCAATATCCTGCCAATATCAACATGCCAACATGCCACAAAAACCAAATATCATTCAAATTGCGGTCGTTGCAATCAAATTTTCACAGCAAAAACTAAAAACTAAAAAATAAAATAGCAACAAAAATTATTTTTGAGTTTCATTTGGGGGGGGGGTGTAGTAGGGGAGGGTAGATTAAACACAGAACTTGTTGACATAACCCAACCGATTTCAACAGATATTCCCCTGATAAACAAACATAAAGCCAAAACAAGCCAAACCGCATTTGTTCTCTGCCTGTTTATTGCTAAATGTGCAATCGCTTTTTCCCCCCTCCCCCTCCTTTTTTCTCCATATTTTCCCGTTGGAAAATGCCAATGTTGCCCATAGATCGTAGCCTGGTCTAATAATATTTATTTTCCCATGCGGTTAGCAGCATGAAAATCATTTGCTTTGTGCTCAGTCAGGTTAAACTTTAGGTCTTTGTTCAATTTACGAACAGAAACACATTAGAAAAAATGCAACCTTTGTCTGGACTAGTCAAATGAATTAAGTAATCAATATTTTGTGTACCTATATATAGAATATATATTTTTCTCGGTTGGCAATTCCAAAGAGGAAACAGACACCCGACAAAAAATACAAATTAAATTTTCATATGAATTATTTTGCTGGTCACGTAACATTCGAGGATGGAGGCTAGGAAGTTGGGTTGGTTTTTACGGACGAGACATGCGAAGTGGACTCCCAGTGGGGAATTGACCATTGATACGTATTATGTGACTGGCTGACCAAAGCACTGACGAAATTTCATTTCCTCAGCATCAGTCTCCTCCCCTCCTGTTCTTAGGGAAAACCCTGCCCGCCTCCACCGCAAGTTAATTGCTTCGCCTACGTCAATGCGACAAAACGGCAAAAGACATAATTAATAGCAATGCGGGGGGGGTGGGAAAAGTCTCTTTCGTTTATCGATTTTCATCACAAAAAGGAACTCCGCCAAAGGCAAAGAACTTCGACTCACTCAACGTGCTGGCCCAATTGGCCTTTGGCCATAAACCGTTTTAATATGCGCTAAAGTAGTCAAAGCTTAATGATGGAAACCGAAGGGAAAAGCAAGGAACTCAAGGGGAAGGAAATGCGAAGTAAACAGCAGTCTCTTGTGTTTGCCTCGTTTAAATTGTTTAAAATGTCAACTTGATTGCGCTTAATTAAATGCCCAAAATCCTCAAGGACAACAGACTTCTCGAACACAGAAAATTCCGTGGGCATAACGAGCCATGGCACAAAAACACAAAAACTTTCATAACAACCTACAAATGGGAAATAATTAACAATTTGTGCAAAAACTCAATGAGACAGCAGGAATTGCGCTGAGGGGAAAAACAATTGTTAAAAGGGAAAACCAAAATAGCTTAAAGGAGTTGTCTACTTAAGTGCCTTGGTTGGACATTTAATTCCATTTACAAGTTGATTTGTTTTCTAGGTAATCAAGGAATTTGCTTGATTGATTGTTTTTTTGGCCAAGCAAAGGCTCAAGTTAAGTAATAAATATGTAAATAAATTCATTTATTTGTTTATAAATTCAAAGATAAGTTTTCTGAAAGTGGGTCAAGTAGCTTAAGAATAAATATCCATAGACAAAGTTCTATTTCTTTGAAGAAAAAAACATTTTCCAAGAGTTTAAACTAAGCAAATAATATTTTAATTACTTCTTACCTTCTTCTTCACCAAATACCAATTTATTTTTACAATTTCTAAACTAGTTCACTCACTCATCATCAATCAGAAGGGCAATCAAATTGTTTGCTAAATATTAACAAGTTAGGCTGGCTGGCTGGCTGGCACTTTAACTTGGCAAACATCTGCAAGCTTTTCCAGATACCAACGAACTGCAACAGCTTGAGGCGATTGCACTTGAGTTGAAGACTCAGCTTGTTAGAATCACTCAAAAGAAAAGTGGGCCAATCAAAATGTGGCCTAAAATAAAAGTTAATGCCAGGCAACAGTTGCAGTAACACTAAGAAAAAACCCACTTGAATGTATAAACCTCTTAAAGATACCAAGCACAGCTGTGGAAAGCAGCTTTACGACCCACCCACATCCAGCTTCTTTATTCCCATTTCTTATGTATGCCTCACCAGGAGTTTGCCGGCTTAAAGCCACAGCCAAAGTTAAACGAACATCAAAAGCCAACTAATTTGGCTGTAAAAATAACATTAAATCACATTCAAGAGCGAACGAATATAGAAGGAATGGAATCTATATATATATCCCTTTATAGATAGAAGAAAATCGAACATACACACACATGCTAGGGCTGTGCTGAGGTAGTGTAACCGCTGAGGTAAGAGCCATTGGTACTCCCCCCTTTCGCTTTTTCGCCCCATCACGATTTGGTCTTTAAGCTTATGTTGCACTTGACTGAGTTTTATGCTTTGATGCTCAATGATTTTATTATTAAAAGCAACTTGTCCCGGTCCAAGGATTCTCCCCCATTGGCTTCTACCATCGTCTGTCTACTCTTTGGCTTTTTTTGTCTTCCTGTTTTTTTTGGGAGGGTTGTCTTTTAGCCACCCTTGGTCTAGACTCTAGACTCTAGACCCTGGAAATTGCCAACGGCTTTTCCGGCTGCTGCTGCTACTGCAGCACCTTCACCTTGGGAGTCGCTTAGCTGTCTAAATATGTCACTTGTATTTGATGACGGCGGCCACTTGCGTAGCTGGAAAAACTGTTGCCTGTTTTTCTCCACCACCCATCCACCCACACACACTCATACGATTAAGTTTCACCCCCTTTTTTTTGGCTGTGCTCTGTGTTTTCTTAAAATATTAGTTCCCTTCTTTGCTTTTGTTTGGTTCTGCGGCTATGGGGAAATTGTTTTGCTGCTTTTTATTGTCATCTTTGTTATTTGTTATGGCCCACCCTACACCCCCTCTTCATCCGCATTCTAACTTTTTCGCATCCGTATCTCTATCTATGTTATTTGCTCAGACTCAGTTACTGCCACCTCGGGCCATACTCGCACATATTCGCATTTGAGGGCCAACAGCCAAGAGCCAAGAGCCAGTTGTCATGAATAATGAAAAAGCAACGTGAATATATTTCCTTAGGTAGTTCTCGCCAGTGTCAGGGGAATGGTTTGAGGATTGGAGTTGGCTTTGTTAGGGGAGGTGAGTAGAGGAAAAATGAGGGAACAATGGATTGAGTTTCTCATAGGAGGAAGCACTGTAACTATCCCTCTTTTCTTACATAATTAAAAAGTGTTTGAAAAGGAAAGGTGAAAAGGAAATCAGCTTGCAGTTTGGGATTTCTTTTTACAAGATTTTTCTACTATCTGTGTGATGGCGTATAAGTAAACCTTAGTAAGCTTAATTCAAGTTCAAGAATAAATATTTTTACTTATTTTTATGTGAATATAAGTTTATATTAGATCTTATTCCTTTACCACACTCTTTTTCCTTCTGAAAACTCGAAAGATTTTGTCCAAGTTCTTCCACCAACCAAATTTCCCAAATAGATTTTCCCGATTAGACCCTCTTTCCTTTTCAATTTCTTGTTTGTTTTTCGTTTAAAACCCAAGAAAATGTCCTTTTTTCTGGTCCCTTACACTGACTGCGATGCTGTTTGCATTTCAAATTCCCTCCTTACCTCCTTACTCCTCAATAAAAATCGAAAAAAATCAAGCAAAGCAAATAAAGCCTCAATAAAGTAGACCAAGTCCAAAGTGTCAATCGTTGGTGATTCTATAACCGATGGCCAGAGGAGGAAGGAGGGACTAGGCTAAATCTCGATGCTAATTAAAAGCGAGCTGCGTAAACTTTAAATGAACTGCCAAATGGAAAGCCAGCCAAATGACAGTCAATGTCAGATGAATGCAAAATAAACACAAAAACCGACGAATATTTTTCGCTTAATGAAAAACTTGGCCCAACGCAACGCAAAAGTTCAATTCAGGCAAATGTCAGCGCAGACAGCAAAAACAACAACAATTTACGGGGACGGGGGACGTGGGCTAGAAATGGCTGCTCCAAAATGAAAAGTTTTCCCCCATCCCAAAAAAAGGCGATGATATTTTCAGGAGGGTTAGGGGGGTAGGGATGGTTTAGTCTTTCGACTGCAATTTTAGCCTCAAACCAAAGACAACCAAAATGAGTCCCGGATGTGGTGGCAAACAACAAGAAAAACAAAAATGCTAAACCAACAGAAAATATCACAACAAAAAAGGAAGCTAAAGATGCTGCTGCTGCTTCTGCTGTTGGCCCTCTGGTTCAAACCGCAATACAGATAAAGGCCAAATTACTTTCTGGCCAAGAAAAGCTGCCGCCATGAACCGCAACTTGAAAACCATCGGACAAACAAGAACCCAACCGAGGGTCATGTTGTACTTTTTCGATGAGTTTATGGACGGCGGTGATCCTTCGGGGAAAACTTCTCTCAGCCAGCTGAAAAGCCTGCCCTGGGGATCGGGCAAGTGGAAAAGTCTGAAGCAGATGGCTCTGGAGAGTGTGATTCATAAAGATCTTACTAGAAGTTGACAAGAAAGGCGTGAGGGAATCAAAGTAACTAACATGGCAGAGAGATGGAAGTTTTCTTACAAACTTAAAGGTGATCCGAAAGTTAAAGGCTAATAAAATTAGGTACAAACTATGAATTAGCGACTTTTTACCAATTAGGAAGAGTAATAAACTACTTAGAATGATTTTTCCATTGGGATTATCCCAACTTTCATGGCAATGTCATTACATTAAACAAATATTATAACAAGAAAAGCCAACAAACAAAAGGCATTACCTAACCCCTTACCTAATCACTTTCAGAAGCCCAAACCAAACTTCCTTCATCTGCTACTTCGATTAGAAAAGTTTTGCCTTCGAGCTTAGCCCCCGAGTTAAAAACTTCACCTGCAATAATCATTTGCTGTTGGCCATATAAACTAGACATTAAAGTCACCTTTTACAGTCCATGCTCGACCCGAATGTAACCACACAAAAAACTGGCACACACAGCCACGAAGAAGAAGATCCCAAAAATCCAGCACAAAACCTGTAACTAGACAATGTTCGCAGATTGGTAGAGAAAAGGGATGCCGCCCTCTGCCTCCACTATATCTGAGTGTGCCTTCGTGTTTCGGTCACAAATTGCAGTTGGAGCTCGGTGACAACCACAAAAATAAGTGTTTACAGCATTGATTACAAGAAATGGGCGGTAGTTGAGGCTGTGCCACATAACATCAGGAACAGGAGTGGCACCGTTTGATGTTGATTAGAGCCCCGGCAGCCAAAGCCACAAACATTTTTGCATTTCTCAAGATAGTCTACAGGAGTAGGCTGCACTTACAGAAATAAAGAATATTTTTTTATTGGAAATTTATTAATAAGAAACGAAAATTAGAAACATGAATGAATCACATAAAAAGCAGCTTGGTTAATCGATGATTACTTTTCTTTCGATTAGCTATCATCCATATTTATCCCTGGTTTTTACAAAGTTTTCCCTCAGTGCCCTCCCCGAGTCAGTTAGCGTGTCAGTAGTGCCAAGGGATTGACCAAGTCTGGTGTTAGGTAGGTTGGGGGAACCATGGCTACTAGGATGCTGGGCTGCTGGGCTGCTTTGGCTGGTTTTGCGGGAATTGGTTTAGGTGTCAACTCTGCGGCCGCACACAATTGACAAACAGTGAAACCCTTTTTGTGGCACTTCCGTTGCGTTTGTTTGCCAGTTTACAATCCACCCTTCTGGCACAAACTAAAACCCGTGCAGCAATACCCCCCACCCAACCATTGCATTTCCCTCGGCCATGTCCTTGTGCTCTGTTGCCTGTTGTGACAAAAGTTTATACCCCAAGCATTTGAACTGCATTTCATTACGGCGTGGACCCCAGAGTTACCCTGCTAGCTAGAACTGCTTCTGGAGGGGATGGGGGGGTGTACGATTCAGATGGGGGTTGGAGGATTTGGAATGCAAATGGTGTTGGCGCCATATTGAAAGCTCGGCAAAACTCGGCGGCCAACGCAGGCTTCCCTGTATTCCCTATTTTCTGTACTTTTTCCACCTCCTTCTCCCTTCAAATTTTCCATTGCCCGCATTTGCAGCCGCAGCGTCAGTCTTTTGTGGTTTTTCAGGGAGTGTGGAGGGGGGCCGCGTGTCCGTAGGGGCTGGAAGAACCCCCAACGAAGCGTATAAGTGGCCCTTATCCCAGCTTGAAGTTGAGGGGGTGGTGTATGTACCCCCCTCTGCTGTAGTATATTGTATTGGCAAATATTCTCATGACAATAGGAATTTTTATTGAATTTATGCAAAAAATTGCAAATTTCATTTGCCACTAACAAAAAGAGTTGTGTTCGCAGTTGTCTAGTGGAAAAATAATAAAAAAAAAAGTATGGAAAAACATTTTCCATATTTTCCTGCATGTTGTTTTTGTGTGTTTGTGTGGCTAAATTTTGTGTTTATGAAAAGTGAGCGGAACCTGAATGGAAAATGACACCAGACAGGAAATGCATTCGCTATTTGATTGAAATTTCAAATCAAATTTTCTTCATTGATTTCCCGTTTTTATTGCCTATCACAAATTACAGGAAACAAGATTTTGCCTTAAAAACACACAAATGTAGAAGAGTATAAGATTATTTTTGAAGTTTAGAATTCAGTTTTAAGTTTCTCCAGGAAAAGATTTATGTACTTCTGAGACTTCTTAGATCTATTAAAAAGCCGAGCATTGGCAATGGCCAAATTGGACTCAGCCTCATTGTTAAGACGGGCTAGAGCTCCGGCCCTATAAAGCCAGGCCCGCAAATGTATGGAATCTAGTTTGAAGATCACATAGTCCAGGTCTATGAGAGCCATTTTAAAGTCTCTTTTTCTAAGGTTTTGGGATTAAAACTTATATACTTTGAAAATCCTTTCTTAAACTTACTTGATTCTAGCCAAGGCCCTGTTGCAATAAAGAACTGGCGAATCGGCGACATACTGAATGGCTTTTGAATAATGAAAGATAGCTTTTTCGTAGTTAGCACGACGGTACTCCTCGTTGCCCAGTCTTTTTAGAAGGCAAAATTAATATCCTGCTCAGATAACCCTCCTTTTGACCTACCTTCGAAAACTATCAGCCACAATCTCACGATCCCTTCTAGCTTCTTCCCGATCCTTTGGCGTAACATCAATCTGACGCATGAAACAGATTTGATTGATATTTGAAGATTTTTGTACCCTTTTAAAGTAACGCGAAGACTTCTTACGAATTTCTCGATAAAAAACCACAAAACTTGTGTTCGTCACACCAACGGAAGGATCAATCTCTGGCTTTTTCTCCTCCTTGCCCTTTCTGCAGGATGGAAACTTTGAATTTTCTGATTTTTAATCAAATTTTACTATAATAAGTACTCCATTTTATTGGCATTCTGCATCTCATCTAGTTGCCTAACAACATCCATGACAAGCGATCGTTGAGTCAAGAAGCTTTCATCAGAATCCATATTTTATGTTTCTCGGAAAATATATTTTTATTTTTCAGAATTCAGTGTGAGAAAATCAAGCGGCTGCCTGACTGGACTAACAGTTTTCCAATGGCCAACTTGGCTAATCTTTTCAGAGAGAGAGCAATTATCATTATGTTCAGTCTAATGCCTTTTGACTTGACTCCACTGGCAACGTGCAACGTGCAACATGTGTATAGTGGTGGTGGTGGTGGTGGCAAATTAGACAGACAGAAGCCAACTGACATCTGGCTCGTTAGCCAAGGAGCAGCAGCAGTCTGTGGTTTTTCGGATTAGCTCAATTAAAATTTTGTGGCATTAAAATTGTCTTGCCAGACAGACTGCATCATGACTCCCCGTGTGGCATATGTATATAGATATAAAAAAAAAAAAAATCATGCAACGCTCAACTTCCGGTGCCACACATTTTCATCTTTATTTGTGCCTGAAATTATTTAATTGAGTTTGTTTGAAAATTTCTTTTAAATTAAGAAAGTTTTAGCACGTGACGTTTTTCCTTTTTTTTTTTGTATATTTTCACTCTTGTGGTGATTCACAACTTTATTTGGCGCCGTGCAGAAGGGTGAGTCAGGGGAGGCAGGCTGAGGTTTGGCCAGGACAGCACGTGCTACCCAGTTAGTAAACTTTGTGCCCTTTTTGGATTTTTTTTTTTGGGTTTTTTGGTGTTACTTTTAGGGTAATCTGAATGATAATAATCACATCAAATCGCGCATATGTTAGAGTCTATGGGGGTTAAAAACTGGTCTTGAGTTGGTGAAACTGCATTTGGTGCTTAGAAAATATGAAACTTATTAAAGCCATTCTTTGGTCGAATTTTTGCAAAAGAGAACTGCATTTCATACAAGGATTAAGTTTAAATTTCCCAAACTTAAAAACTAAAACTACAGCATAATCCTTTAACATCTTATTTGAAGTTTCAGATCATAATTTTGTTTAATCATTTTTTATGAACACATCACTTGGCTGCATATTATTTTCAATTTTCGGTTAAATGCTTTGCACGTCTCGCTGGATCTGCTCATTAATATTGGTTAGGGGTCGCAGCAGCTTTGAGCTTCTCACCCCAGTTGGTCAGTGCCACAGTAACCCACTGCCTTGCAACACATCTTAACCCACTAAAGAGCAAGTAAAAAACAACCCCTTCTTAAAATATATAAAAATTACTTCTTAAACCAAAAGCATTCCTTATTCCATTTCTTAATAAATATCTCTCTTTATTCTTCTAAACTTATCTTAGATTATGCCTCTTATTTTTAGTGGGTTAAACCAGAGGGTTAAACTGCCTGAACGAAATGTGCGAACATTGCAAAAGCTTGGCATAGTTACAGGCGATGCTGCGATGCTGTCACGCGGACATTGATGACTGCGTTGACAAGTTGTCCTGGCAGCAGGACGACAACGACGACAACAACATCGGGACAGGACAGGACAGAACAGGACGTCAAGAGAGGCACGGCAAGGACGTGCCAGCGTCCCTGGAGAAATGTGTCAAGCGCGGCGACTTGAGCTGCATAACCAAACAGGATGTGGCAAGTCGATGTCGAAAGGCAGAAAGGGGTGGCCAAAGGCAAGTATTTCTGGCTCAACGTTAAGCTCGCCATTGTTTTGAACTTTAAACTTTGCTTGTCCGCTTGCCAAGATTCATTTCTCCTAGCCTGCGAAACTATGTTAAAGTTCAGTTTAAAGTTAGATGGGCCGTCGGTTGTGCTATCAAAAACGCTGACCGCCTGCGGCAGTGCGACTTTTCAGCTCACCTTTTCACCTTTGAAGCGAGAGAAAAAGATACAAAAGAAGAAAAATTGTTGGTGAAAAGGCAACATTGTATAAAAGGGGAAAAGTGCAAGTTTGTATACCCTTTGAAAGTGATAATTTTTTAAGATTTTTTTATCAATTTTCCTTAAATGTTTATAAGAGAAAATCTATCATACTTGCCCTGCAACTTGTAACAATTTTTAAACTTATTTATTTGTAATTTAAAAAATATTTTAAATTATAAATAATAAAGATGAAATTCTATTAAAATCCTGCTTTTTTTTAAAGATTTTTCCAACCTTTTCTCAACCAAATTCCAAAATTTCATTACAAACGGATTGCCTATTGCCTTGTACCCTTTGGCCTCTCGGCTCTTGGGGTGTTCGCCGTGAAAGGGCCGACTGTGCCAGTCAGGAGTTCAACTCCAGCGACAGGCGGTATGAAACCAAAGACAAGCCAAGATTATACATTGCCCAGCCGGAGGGCATGCTTTGTAAGCGAGCTGGAAAAGCAAAAAAGTAACATTAAAAAAAAAACAAAACACACACAAAAAGCGGCAGCAGAAGGGCGCGAAGAACGTGCAGAAATAAATTGCATAAACGCTGAAGCGCGCGAGCGGCGTAAAAAAGCAAAAGGCAAACATGTTTAAAATGTTGTTATTCACACACACACCGAACAGGAGAACTCAGGGCAGAGAGGTTGAGAGGGGAAAGTACCTCCAACTTCGTCCTTGCCATCACCACAAAAAGGCCTTCCACCGAAACTCAACCAAACTGACACAAAGATTTGCCTGCGCCTGCTTTTGCAACATTGTTTGTGGGCCTTGCTGCCTTGTTCCTTGATTTTTACCCACTTTCGCCTTTGTACTTGCCTCTCCCTATTTTACGCTATCTACCTTTTGGCGTGTTTTATTTACCTTGTTAACCTTTTCATGTTGACAAACTGCGGAAATGTTGCTGTATAGCCTGGCAAGAGGCCGATATGAAGAGCGGAAATCTCTGCAAATTTGTTATAAGCGAAAAGTGTCTCACTAGAGCTTTGGCAAAGATATAACAAAAAATATTGAAAAATATCTCTCTTCTGCTGCAAAATCATTATGAAACTTGAATCTCCTCTTTTTTTTTTAGTAAATTTCATTTAATTTCAAACACAAGCAAAGCCGCAATATTTTTTTATTAAAAAACATAACTGGAAAGCAATTTAATATGCAACAAACAACAAAACACCACCAGCACATTCTCTACATATATATTTTTTAAAGTTTATCAAGCAAAATTGAGCAAGTCAAAGTCAGGCCTCGTATTATACTTATCAAGTATACGCCATGTGTTACCCGCAGCTAAGGCAGCCCAGCGAGGAGAAGAAACCAAATTAAATGCTAAATTAAAAAATAAGATCAAAAGGATTTGCCAGACCCTTGTGCGTAGGCAGAGTAACAGAGAAATAAGCATTTTTCATTTTATATTTTCCTCTTTTTTTTTTTTTTTTTTGTAACTTTTAATATTGCGCCGTAGAATTTGCATTTGATATTTGCATGTTGAGTGTACGTACGCTGGTGTCCTTTATTGTGTTTGTATGAGTGTGTGTGTGTGTGTGTGTTGGCCAGGACAGGATAAGCGTATTAACATGCAAGGCATATTAGGGATAACTGCAACACAGCAGACAAACGCAGGAGTCCGGGGACCCAACAGGACAAAACCAATAATGCGCATATTAGACTTGATGATGATGACAATGATGAGGCGAACATCCTTTGTAGAGGAGCTACCTTGAGGGGGTTACCTACTTTTTGTACCCTTTTGAAGGATATGGTAGATATTTTTTAAGATTTTACAAATTTTATTTCAAGCCAAAAGTTTGATTAAGGAAGACTCTAAATGATTCCAAAACCTTTTCTAGTAAAAAATGATTTTGGCTTTTTAAAATATATTTTTAGGAAAATTTTAAAAGAGAAGACCAAACTTTTTGTAACAAACTATTTAGAGAAGGATTTTTAAACTACTTTCTTCCTCTACTAATCTTCCAGGGTATTCCCAGCTTCGATCCCCAATCTAACACTAATTTTTAGCTTCCTTCTCATCCTTTGAAATTGATGTTACTGCTGGTATTGTTTCTTTCGAATTGACCACAGTGAGCTCATGTCGGTTGCATTTTGTTTGTGTGCAAGGCAAGGGAGAATGCATTCTGATGGGTTGGCGAATGGGTGTGGGAGTGGTCCCAGATGTTGGGACAGGATATGCCAGGCAGAGAGAGAGAGAGAGAGAGCAGCACAAGGGGAACCCTTTTCCGGACCAGGGCCGGCACTTCGTCTAAGCCAAAAACGTGCACAGTCTCTGGCAATCAACTTTAATAACATCACAGAATGTCAATAAATCCACAAAATGGTTGAGCCATCCTTGCAGTTACTCCCAGCTTCACTGCCTCACCTCTCATCTCTCCTTGCCATACATGGCATCTATGCTGCATCTGATGATGATGATGATGATGATGATGGTGATGGTGCGCTGCTCCTGCCGGGAGTTTTGCTGATGTCCAGCAAGAGTATCATTAACAAAAGGAACTGCGTGCTGCAGCTGACCGAAAAGAGATGCCACAATGCCGATCCATCTACCAAGGCCCCACTCTCCTCCCTCCTATTGCCATTCAGGCAACCTCTTCTAACCGGATGAAAGCAACTCGAGCTGCTTATTGGATAGTCTTCTCTCATGGCCAAAAGGTCTGCAGCAATTGATAGGCAACAAGAAAAACCTTAAAGTTCTCACACTCAACTTATTGCTAAAACAGAAGCTGATAAACCAGGCCAACCAAAGGTCCAGCCCTGGAAAATTATGTATGAGAAGGAACTCATTGAAAAGGGATTAGGGATTTTCATTGAATTTGGTTTTAATAGCGGTTTTTAGGATAATATCTAAGAGAAGTTTAGTGCAGCTTACAAACTACTTCCCAATAAGCAACTTTCTACATTCAATACCCAAAGTTAAAAGAACAATTTTATTGATTTTCCAGTTGAAAATCACAGACAACAAATCAAAAGCTTTTGCATTGATTTGACAACTTCAATTTACAATTAAATATTTAATGAATTATTTCAACTTATCAATGGTAGCAGCAACACTGCTATCGAAAATCTGTAAATGTGCGGGCATTTGCAGGACACACGCTGACCATAATATATGGTTAAATCTGTGTTTTATTTATCCACACACACAATTGACACTAGGCGCGACCCTAAGCACATTTATCATCCAACAATAATCCCCCCACCAATGGTG